TGGTGTTAGCTCTGTGTGACTCTTCCAAATCAAAACTACTTAATCTGCAAGACTGATGATCATTAATGGCACAGTTATGGTACACTTGTTCCTCCTGAAGCAGGCACTGCAGTGTTTTCTAAAAAATCTTTATTCTGCATAAACTGAAAAAACAGTTTCACAAGGCTCATTAGGAATAGCAGCCTGTTCTGGAAAACCCAAACCCTCTCGTTTTTATGCAGAGTGGGTTTGACCCCAGCCTGGAGGCTCCTGTGCCCTGCCAGAAGGAGCTGGCATGCTACCTGGTTTCAGAGCCCTGCCCAAAATTTTGCAAAAACTCATTTTAAAGATGTGAGTGGTAAGCATTTATTGTTTATCCAGCCATTAATGAACTTTTCCTTCACTGTCATTTCTTTGCCTATTACAGGCGAAACCAGCCCCAGGGTGACACCGTGTTTCGACCCAGGGCAGGTCACTTTGATCAGGCACTTTTTACTGCGCTCAGACCCTGCATGCAGAATGTCCTCAACCTGGAAGCATAAACCTGTTGTTTTGAGGTTAACACAGCTAAAACTCAACACACCCTGAGAGGCCACGAGGCTGAACTCGAGCGCACTCAGCACCCCCAGGGCAGACACCCAAAAAGCCCCGGTAGGCCTCAGTCAGGTGGCCAAGGGTCCACCCTCTGCTCCCCACAACGGGTCCCCAGTGGTACCAAACTTTTGCCCTCCAGCACCAGATTTCCTGTGGGGTTTTTTACCTTTTCACATCGAGTAGTTTTCCTCTTGTATCCTCAAGCTTGCGCTCGTCTCAACCAGCCTTCGGCCTGAATTTTGTCGCGCAGCTCTACACCACAGACCTTCTCACTCCTACGGCCTGGCCTTTTCCGTAGCAGTTGGAGCCAGACCTCAGCCCCATGTCCAAGGATTTTAACTGAGGTTGTGCAGATCACTGCGGGTTTGGGACAAGCCAAAAGAGAACCCTTTCAATTTTATTTCTGAGGGCAAAAAGACTGGGCCTGTTCTGCCTGAATTCTGCAATGAAAGCAAGGTTTAACCTGCTCAGTGCCGCTATGTGGACATTTGATGCACTTATATGGGTTTTGTCCTTATCTGTGAGAAAAATGGGTTACATAGAGGAAAGAAACTAATGTAGATTAACAACAGGCTGGCTTTCCAGTACAGGTGTTGTGTCCCCTGTCCCTCAGTGATGTGTGGCTACCTCCATAATGAAGGCGACTCTCCCAGTTTCTTGACCTCTGCTCTGCCCATCACAAAGGCAGACATGGAGAACATTATCCCATTCCCCGCTCCCGCAATCCCTTGCACAGCAGAGCACATTTTCAAAGTGGATCAAACTGCATCTCACTGGCTGCAGAAATTTCAGTCGTCTATTTAGGAAAGCCGCCATTAGCTCAGAGTATTTCTTAAGCCTCTGTGAAGGTCCTCATCCACTTTGCCTTTAAGTCCTTGCTCAGTTTTTCACAGCACTTACAGCTTTTTCTTTAAACCAGGTAGCTTTAGCTCAGAAGCATTTCCCTTCCAGTTTTTTTACTTCATATGTGTCAGAGATCTTTGTTATCTATGAAGGTCTCTAAAGCATTGGTGGCTCCTGGGCACATTTCCACAGGCAAGTGCAAACAGTGCTGAGCCTGCCAACTTGAAGCTGGTAAAATATAAGCCAGCCACGTGGGAAACAGCACGGAGTCAGTGCTAAATAGCTCCCTTCTAAGAACCAATTGCTTCATAAAATGCCTTCGAATGGCTGTTTGAGGTTCGTGTTTGCACTTGCAAGGAAAGTGCTGCTCACTGCTCACAGCTTCAAGCCTAAGCTGTGTTACAGAAGAAATACCAGCATGGACGTCACTAGCAAAGCCAATCCTGGCTTGACATCTCCAAAACACCCCTGGGAGAAGTACTGCCTCAGTCAGGGCAGGACCAGAAACCTGGGCTTTAAGGGCAGGAGACCAGTAAGACAGAAGCTGCCTGAAAGGCAGCGGGGGCCAGCGAAGGGCCAGTGTTGGCTGACTTCTGGGAGGGCCAAAACTGAAGCTGTCCTCAGGGACAAAAAAGGCAGTGACTGTCCGTGAGAGACTCTGCTTAGCGAAGGTTAAACCTGGTGGAAGAAGATGCCTCTGATGACTTAAAACTACCGTCGTTCCCCTGCAGGAATATTGTCACAGGATTCACTACTGGAATCTATTAGACACAACAGATTATTGTGATCCACAAAATTATCAGTAAAGATATTATTATTAAAATTACTAGTAATGCCAAGTCCTAATATGATTGACACATTTCATCGTAGTTTGGAGTAACTACAGTTTTATCAACCTGTTTTTTTAATCTGTATAAGAATAGGTCCTTTTCTGAAGGTCTCTTTCAAATGTAGACCAATAGTAACTAGTTGATAAGTGACTCTGGTAAACTAAAATGATGCTGAAAGTAAAATATCAAGAAGATATTTCTCTTTTACTTTCATGTATAATTTTGAGATTTACAACATATTGAAGTTTTAGAGATTATATGTGTGTGATACATATATTTATCATATATATTTTTATTTTTTTCTGCTTTTCCGCGTGTTTCTTGAAGATGGGGAATATCTGAATCTGAAGAGGTATCTGTCAGAGCTGAAGCAGAGAATGTGTATTTTGCTACTGCTCCTTCCCTTAAAACATGGTAATCGAAAACCAAACAAAAAAGGGACAGGAAGAGTTACCAGGACCTACAATAATCTCTCCACACATGTACTCTTGTCTTATCTGGCTTTTCAAAGCCCTTGCTACCTGTGCTAGGCTTCATTCACACCGTGGCTCAAACACAGGACAAATAATCCCAACTCTTTTGCAGTAGCTCTACAGTGGAAAATTTTTTCCTGGCAGAAATTCAGGTGGTGGTTTTCTGTAGCCAGCCCCTGGGCAAGGTGGACTCCACGTTATAACCGGTCTCCATGTTATAACTGTACATCAGTATGCCAGCGCTGAATCCCGTCCACTGAGCTGAAAGTTGTGTCCTTGGGCAGTTTATCCAGTGTACGACTGAACTTTGCTGTGAGCACAGAGGCAGCCAAGGTGACAACTTTTTGCAAAAGCAGCTCAGGTTGGGCAGGGTTTTTAAATCTCTTCACAACGCAGTTTATACGCTCTCCCGCTCCTCCCGCAGCCCATTTGGATCTGGAAGCAATATAAGCTGTCACCTGACAGCAAACCTGACAATAAACCCATTGTGTCTCCAGCTCAAGGACAAAGTGCTCAGGGAAGGTTTAGCCTCATTTCCTTGGCTGCTGGAGATAAACATTAGCAGTAGCTCTAGCCTGAATACTTAATCTGAGCATACAACATCTGTGCGGGTGGCCTGTAGCCTCCTACCTGCATTGATGGTTTTTAGGAAAAACAGACCAAGAATAGTCTACAAGATTTATTTTCTAGGGAACTTATCTCATACTATTTTGTTCAAAAAACACTGACTACTGTTCATTGAGATACTAACTGAAAAGATTCTTAGCATTATCTCAGGAATTGTTTCCCTGATGGGTGATACACATGGAAAATTATGACACGTGAGGCTTTTTTCTTAAGTATAGCTCATTTTTAAATTTGTCAGTCTCTTCACTCATTAACTTCTCAATTTCTGGAAGTGTACTGTCTTCCAGCTACTTCACATATGCAAAGCGCTGGATAAAGCAGACAGGAATTTGGTTTTCTTACTCATCCATTGCAAGGTGCTTTAGAAAGAGTGTAACACATTCCCAAAGGCAAACAGGCTGAAAATTCTACATCCTGCTGACAAACAATACACTGGGATTTTTTAACACAGAATGAACAGTACAAATACAAGAGAGTTGAATAAAATAATGGACCTTGCTAGTACAGTGCAATGCATTTTTATGAACTAGCAGGTATTTAATTTCACAGCTATGCACCAAGGTCTCTCAATTCACCTTCCACATAACAACACAAAATGGTCATGATTTGCAAACTTCATCATCAAAATAAAATTACATTATATGTAGCTGCTATTATAACTAATTAGTAATTTTAAAATGTGCTCAGTCCCACAGAAATAGCACCCTTGTAAAGATACAGTCAAAGAATATGTTAGGCTAGAAGGTACCTACTCAAACTACTGGAATCACTGATCCTTTCCCAAACTGTGGTATGTCAAGACTTACCACAATGAGTGCTTGAGTGCTTTAAAAGCATCACAACTGAAGTTTTCAATTTTCCTCACAGCTGAGTCTTGTGATGAGCTTTTAGAACACTCTTCTGATTGTCACATTACCAACCCTTCTCTCTACATTTTCCGTCCAGCTGTGTGGCTCTCCCATGGGAGCACAGGCAGAACCAACAGCACCAAGTGTCAGGACTCATCAGGAGATTTAAATTTACTCACTTTATAAAATTGTTCTCTCCAGAACACTGTCTGCTTGAGGGACATTTCTACTTCATGGGCAAAGGAGGAAGGGAGAAAACAAGACATATCCAGCTGGCAACCAGCTGAAGAGTACTAAAGGAAAATCCCAAAAGTTCAAGCACATCAAGGCATCTCACTTATCACAGTGGATGGATTGTGTTGTGGAAAATCACTAGCTAGCTTCAGAATCTCTGTTGGTCTGTATTGGGTTTGCATGGCAAGGTTTTGGTAGTGTGGGGCTACAGGGGTGGCTTCTGTGAGAAGCTGCTGGAAGCTTCCCCTGTGTCTGACAGAGCCACTGCACCTGGCTCGGAGAGAGATCCACCGCTGGCCCAGGCCGAGCCCATCGGCGATGATGGTAGTGCCTTTGGGATAACGTACTGAGGGGGGAAACAAACCCAAACTAACCAAGAGAGCAGCTGCAGCCAAAGAGAGGACTGAGACTATGTGAGTGAAACACCTCTGCAGACACCAAGGTCAGGGAAGAAGGAGAGGGAGGAGGTGCTGCAGGTGCCAGAGCAGAGATTCCCCTGCAGCTCGTGGTGAAGACCATGGTGAGGCAGGTTGTGCCCTGCAGCCCTGTCCAGTTGAGGAGGGGAGTGATAAAGCAGCTTTGGTGGGCACCTGGTGTACAGCCAGGGTCAACCCACCACATCTATACAGGAAAGAAAATGCATATAAATGCCTGATAAGCATGCTAGAACAAGAATCATCTGCATAAATACATACAACCTCATCTTGTAAATCAAAACTACTACAATAGCTCCCGATTTAAAAACACCTCTTTATGCTGACACCAACTTTCAAACACACCTCAACCCCTGCAGTGATTCATTTTCAGGAAGGTTTTAAGGAGTAAACATCACCGCTTCATGTGTCATAAGGATTCTGCTCCTTGTTCCAGCTGTTTCTCAAGCCTTTCAGGCCAAACGCTTCCCCTGTACTGGTATCTAGGCCTCAGCATTAAAGAAACTAGTAAGTCAGCAGAGACAAGGACTAACTTTACTATCTTTTAAGAGGAAATTAATATATAGAATCATATAATTATCAAAAATATATGAAAGAAAAAGTTTCTAGGTGCAACAGTTCTTAGATACTTTCTCTAGCTGAGTCTCTCCTGCACTTTTTTGATAAATAAATGTGAAGGCAGAGGTCACTGACTGAGTGCAGAATGTCCTTCTTGTGGAACATTTGTACACATCCACACTGGTACAGAGATGCTGAACTTCATGGACAAGGTACAGCTTCCCGAGACATTCTGATACTCCTGGATAAGGCTACTGAGGATGTTTTTTCATGTAAATCAAGAGATAGGCCGTTTCTCCCCTGTGGAAGCAAAGAAAGAACAAAGCAAGATGTATGTTTGAAGATCTAGGTGGTAAGTAACCTCCCAGGTTTATTCCTGCTCAGCTTTTTGATGTTTAGGATGTGGCCCTCGCCAGTATTCCTGAGGCAGCATACAAAGCTGACTCCCTGGCAGAGCTATAGCTTATAGGAGGGATTATCTCCCTCTACAGCTCATTTTCTTATGATGCATCAAAGCAAAAATCACCGGCTGACATTATATACATGTCAGGATACAGGGTCCAAGTGACAATCATAAGTAACAAGACCACTCCTGCAGTCCCACCTGTGACTACTCAGTAGTCCTGCAGGCTCCCACTACAGCCATATACAGTCACATCAGAGTAACCAGAATGCAATGATGCTTCTTCTACTCTCCTGCATCCCCAGTACATCCCAGGCAATATGCAGTTCAAACCATTTGTCTTTCCTCTCTTTGCTACCCTCATTCCAAGGCCCAGAGTAGCATTAGGTAAAAACAGAGACATGTTTGTTTACCAGTGGAGTTTGGAATGTCCATAGGTGCATTTCACATCATCCCACGATACCTAGAGAAGAAAAACACACAAGAGCAGTCTAGTAAAAACTCTAAAAGATTGACACATTGTGATATCAGCATAGCAATACTCATAAGAGAGATAAAGTGGTACTTCCAGGAACTAAACACCTTTTAATAAACTGGTTTATTGTTTTTACCATTCAAGGAAAAAGAGTTTCTTTGCCTCTTCTGAACACATACATTAAACAGATCTAGAGTACATAAAGTAAGGTATACAGAGAATGCAGAGAATGGCTGCTTCTGCAAATTGCAAGCCAGAACCTCAGGCCTTGTTCAGTACAGAAGGTAGAGCTGCTTTGCCCTCAGCTCAGAGTATGCTGCAGCAGAGAAATGAGGTGCACAAAGCTCTGCAGCTTCAGTTTTCTCTTCTGGTCCTCTTTAATCAACAGTCAGTCAGACTGAATGAGATCTGGAGGAGTATCCAGGAAGCTACAACAGAAATGTGGATTTATCTCCTCACCTTGCAAACCTCAGAATCGTTGAAGCAATACCATTTACATTCCGTGAGACTTCGAATATAGGCACAGTAGTGTCCACAACTAGTGGATCCTGAATGAGCAACAACAGCAAAAAGCTCATACTGCCAGGCAGCCTGTGAAGAACCACGAAGAGTAACATTCAGTGCAGCAAATCTCATTTGACATTGGCTGAAGAGAAGCACAGCGAGAATGTGCATTTTGTAAGGAAAAAGGAGAAAGATTAGATTGGCCTTGGGGATCCTGCCTTTTTCGCTCTTACCCTCAGAGTTTTGCCTGGTAGCTATGGGCTGGCAGCCTCCCTGGAGATCACAGGAATGTGAAAAAGGCAGTAGGACAGTAAAGGGGCAGCAAAGGAGTTACACTGCAGCAGAGAGGCTTTGCTGTTGCCACACTTTCCCTTGTTGTTTCTCAATAAGGGGAACAGATCCACAGTGTGGCAGATGACTCTCAGCTGCCTGGCAAAGCTGCTGTCCCCCTGCCAACCTCAACTCTGTGGCAAACACCACGGCACGGGAAGCTGCCAGGAATGGAGTTGGCCTGTCTCAGACTGGTGATCACTGCAAAGCAGCAGGTCTGCGGCTCACTGAGGCCATCTTGTCCTCAAGGCTGCACCACAGGACAGAAGTTGCCTCTAAAACACTGTTTACAATGTCTGGATTTGGTCACCCAAATGAACTGTGTTTTCATCTTTTCTTTAGTATATTTAGAAATGGAATAAAAAGTCATGCTAAACACTCCCAGGGAAAAGAAGTGTTTGGGGTTGTTTTTTGTAAAGCCTCATTTTTGTCCTTATGGCGGAAAGCTCCAGCTATGGTGCCTTTGGTGATTTAATCTGAGCATAGGAAGCTGAATAATGCCTGAACCAGTTAAAAGCATGGAATGTGAGAGAACATTAGGAACAGGTAAAGCCTGAGACATACACTTTTAAGACAGGTGCTTTGAACTGAGGCAAGTACTGGTGTGATCTCTTAAGTTTTTTATGAGACTTGAGCAGAGGGGAGAAAAAAGTCTGCCCTTTTCAAACAGGGCATTGGGAGTATCTCACCTTTTCCTTGTCATCTGCTTGGCACTGATTTTCTGTCAAGATTGCATTGAAATCAAGGTCTTCTGAGAATGGCAGATAATGACTAAGCTTGTGAATGTAGGCTGATTTTTCAAAGCTGAAGCGCTTTAAGTGTATGGTCAGAGTCTGTGGCAGATGGACTAGCTTCATGCTCTGTAAAGCAACAAATAATGCGATTCAAAATTAAGGAACAAACCCTGGGGAGGTGGGGTGGAAACAGCCATTGCCACCCAGTGAATGTAGCATGGAGAAGAGTCTGATGATTAACAATTCCACCTAACAGCAGATGCCAAGCCTTTGTAGCTCACCTCCATACATGAGACACAAACGTGTAATGGAGCTGTGACAACCAAGTTTTTCAACTTCAGCATGATCAGCACCCAGCATTGAATGTCTCAAGAGCTGCTTTGTTTCTCATTTGCTTTTTTAACCCTAGGTGGGTAGCACAAGGAAGATGAGGAGAGGCAAGCCAACTTCCTCGTGACATGTGGCCACCAGAGCTCCATGGAGGATGCCAAGCTAACAGCTCATTCCTTCCAGCACTGCCTTTGTTGATATTACTGCTGCTGCCATGGCTGCCACCAAGACACATGGATGCACTATGGCCTCAGAGGTGGCCCAGTGGTGAAAATGACAGTCCCCTCCAAGCCTTGAGCTGAGGCAGTCTCCCTCATACACCTCTCTCTTCAATGCACTTGCCACTTCGTGAAACAGCTCATTCATTAGCTGGACAAGGCCAATACTGTAAAAAAATGGAGAGCCCAGTGGAGAGCAGGGATGAAAATCACCCTATGTTATCCTACTTTTACATGTATGCTCAGCTCCAGTAACATATTCTTGCCTAACACTGGAGCTACGCAGCAGCGTAAAGCCCCACAGTGGAAACACAACATAAACCAACAGCAGCTTTTCCGCTGGTACAGAAACGCTGCATCCCTCGAGGACTTATATTAAAACCCATTAAAGCATTCTTTTGTTGCTAGAGCTACATCTACAGTAGGGAGCTTCCTACAGGAAAGATGCATCTGGTTTATACCTAGATGACATTGCTGTGCTGTCAGATCTTTTAGTTGTTGATCTCCTTTTAAAGTGATATGATGGAGTCCTTTCCCCATCCTTCCCAGTCCTAAAGGGAGTTCTGGTTGTAAGAGACATAAGAGGAAATAATTCTCTGATTACCTGCAGAAAAGGTGTTTTCCTTCCACACTGTTCACAGAAACACATGTTGTGATCAGTCAACTCTTCTGGAAGGAAAAAGTATTGCAGACAGGCCTCCTAAAAAGACAGAGATTTCTTTCAACTGAATTCCTTCAAGCTGGATTTCTATTTCTACTTAGTTTCACGGGGTACAAGCAAACAGCAAATCTACAAAAGGCATATTTTATTCAAAGGATAAAAGATTGGCTAGCAGCCTAAAAAAAGGTACCCCATTTTCCTAGCTGCTGCTGTGATGACATTAGTCGAAAAAAAATAGAGTACTACATTTTCCACCAAAAAGACATTGATGCATATGTGTCTTTTATACCTATTTCAAAGCCTTACAGGGTTTGGAAGAGGTTCCTTTAGGCTGAAACAGTATGAAGCGGTCAGAGAATAAATAAGGTCCAGTGGTCTACTTTCACCTGAAAAATCCACTATTTGTGGCAGCACCTACACGGCTGCCATCACCACTGTATCTGGATATCAAACAGCAGTAATGATTTAAAAGTAAAAGAACACTGCACTGCACTGGGAAAATGTAGAGATTACAAGTTATCTAGGGCACCTCACTGTGGTATCTAAGGTCTCATGGGTACACATCATTATGTAGTATAAGTCTCTGAGTTTTAGAAAGTATTTAGTCAACACACTCTTTAGAAAGGAGATTCAAGGACTTTATTTTCCATCCCCCATATCAAACAAATTTTCTGAGAAATTTAGAATGCCTCAAAGCAAAGAAGAAACGTGAAGGAGAAAAGATCACCGCAAAGTCCCAGACACCCTGCAGAGATCCTGCATGAGTCCCAGGAGACACCAGTACAGCAGGGAGAAGGCTCCCACAGTGATCAGAGGGGAATCTTCTTCCTAATGAAACAGTGCTGCCCCTGAACTTACCAGAGTCTTCAGCATGTGAGAATTAGAATCCAACAGTGGGAGTGGAAGGGTTAACATGCTGCTGTTCCTCTTTGTTTCGAAAGAGCATTTCTGACAGGCCAGGTGCTCCTGTACACAGATAGTGTACAAATCATTCAGCTCTTCCACCTGGAGGGGTAAAAAAAGGGCAAAACAAGGTTTATGAAGAACAGCTGAGGCATTTCCCTCTGTGGGTGGTAAAGCCCCTGTGCATACCTTAATTCATGCAATGTTACTGTTTCGTGGTTTGAACCCAGATCTGACACTGACTAATGTGGATAGGGCACTTCCCATCATTTAAAGGAGAACAACTCCTCCCCCTCACCCCCTAGCAGAGGGGAAAGACACAGCCCATTAACAAGATTAGACAGTTAAATGTCTGCTTGGATGCAGAATTTTACTGTTTTGTTTGGAACTGCAACAGGAGCCTATGAATAAAACTATGACAGCGAGTTGAGGAGCAGTCACTTTTCTCTTACCTTGCATAGCTCCCCTGGGAGGAACTGTCATATACATAACATACTAACAGTGACTAATTATAATAAAATACACATGGCCGACTTCAAAGAACAGAGTAGCTGTGTCAAGACACACTAATAAATGCTTACAGAAGTTTGGGAAAAAAAGAAATGCAAGATAACTAAACTCAATGTTGCAAAAAGATCAATCATTATTATTAATCAGCTCTCCCATTAGAATGGAGACCCTAGCATGCCCTAGAAGTAAGATGAACAAAAGTTAACTGTGATTCAAAACGTTGAAGCCTACGAAATCAAGATTCCCTCTCCCACTTGAAAGATGCGAGGAAAGATCCAAATAGGGGATAATTCTAAGAATTTCATTTCTTAGAATTGTCAGTGAATGGGACCCTTCTTCAAGAAACAGAGGAAACCACACATGACAAGGGCCAAAGGACCTGGTATTCATTTCAGTGACTGTCCTTACCAGCTCCGGCTTTTTCATCTGCCTCTTTATCAAGTTCCAGAGAGTCAGAAAAAGATGGGCAGCATCATGCTGCACAAACACTGGACAAACAGAAAACACAACCTTAATCTGTATCATGAACAGCACCAAGCACAGATTCCCCACAGATGGCAAAGGGAGATTTACTGTCCCCCAATAGATCTTGTTTCCTTGCCACCCCCTGCCAGGGACAGAGCTTAGACTGGAGATGAGCTGCAATGACTCTGTGAGCAGGCAGTGGGAAAAGATGGGAGGCCCTGATCACCCTGTTGTACAACCCAGTGCAAAAGTCATGGCCAAGAGTATACCCAATACCTACTGCAGGATAGGGCTCAGATGTCTCATCGAGTTGAGGGTTGCATTTATTTGAGTGCCTCTTAGAAACAATAAAGGATTCTGTTCTCTTTTTCACCTTTCTTACTTCACAGACTTGTCTCCCCCATCCCCTTGCTAAGGTTATTACACGCCTGAGTGCTGAGATAAAAATGATAGCGAGGCCTATTCATATGTCTCATACACAGAATGGTATAAATCCCTACCCAGGGAAAAAGCACAGAGTTTCATCACAGGAAGCCAAGGATGATGTAGTAACATTATGCTTTGGCTTTCCACTCTGACTAAACTGGCATATTAGGAAACCTAAAATGGTGGGATACAGCACAGCTTGCTTAGAATGGCCCAGCAGAGAATTGCTTCAACACTGAATTTAGGGGGAAAAAAAAAAAAAAAAAATCCATGTCCTTGAATGCAAGGAACTGATGTTCTCAGCCCATTATGAACTCCAGATTTAGGAACTGGGCAAAAACTACACATAGGTTAGCAAAATCTTGGTATTTCTGCAGTACATCTATTCTTGATCATAAGTAAAACAAATTTTGTGGAATAATCCAACACCCAGAGGTGGAAATGCTTTCAACTTCCCTGCAAGTCTGCAAGCACTGACCTCAGCTAGGGTCTAGTAAGATTACAGACATCCCTGACTAAATGAAGCTCAGAAAATATATGTTTTCTCATGTCTAACAGCACATCTCTGATCCAAGTAAAGCAGCACTTGCTGGAATATAGGATTTTATCAACCACACCCGAATTTTAAAGCAGTAGGGCAAGGTGGGAAACCGTCAAGCTTTACAAACTCTCTTTGGGCATCTCTAATTGGAAGAGAGAAGGCAGAATGCAGAGCCATACGGTCTCAGGGGGAGAACGATTCAAGCAGAAATATTCAGGTTATCTCCTGTTCTTCCTTAATATAGGTCTGGGCTGGCTACAATCTGTCCCTTTCACTGCTGTCCTGTTTTGGCTTCCATATGATAAAGATCAGGGCATTTGGATATACTGTGTGTATTTGTATACATAAACAGAGTCTCAGCATCCCACTGTTACCAGTCACCCATGCATTTAAGTCTCTCTCTTTTGTGATCCTGCCCAGGTGGGAGGTTAAACCATCAAATTTTTCTCTCTGCCCTTATAACAAGGAACAGGAAGGATATGGTTCCTATCCTTGGGGATCTGGGTGAACTCAGTATCTTTTCCACACGATCCCTTCCTTCTAATAAGAAAGGGCAGCTGTTTCACTTCTATCATGCCAGTATAGCAAGACAAATCAAGCTATAAGGTGCCCACTCTCTGCCCTGCACAGCCCTTTCCCTCTGGCCAGTATCAGTAACTGAGTGTTCTAGCAGTCTGATAGTCTTCCCACCCTTTGGACATCAGCAAGGATATCTGGCAGGGGCTTTTTTTCCACTCTTCACAAGACACAGCATCTCACTCACAACTGGGAGGCAGCTATAAAGAGCACTATGTCATCATGTACCTAACTCCTCACATTTCTGAAACTCTGAATGGGATGTCAGAATCTGCACTGGTTGTTAGTGCTTAATAATTAACATCCCTGGTCTGCAGACAGAAGTGGGCATGAGGCAGCACTGCTTACGTTTCACTCTGTATACTGAAAGACAGCAAGCAAGGGCTATGGGAGAAACAGCTTTCTGCTTGCCACACTGCATCTCCTCTAACAGCAGGAGCATTTGGTATGGGACATCATTCTTCTGCTGCGCAGGATATGGTGGCACGGTGATCCTATAAAGAAAAAAAGTAACATGAATGGTAATGAAGCAGTTCAAAGGAGAAATATTAGACATCACACCTGAAGGAGAAGAGGTGGATATGCACAGACAGCAACTCAAGAGGAAACAGAATGGGCATGTTTTCAGCAAAAGGAGGGAAAAGGGGAAGCAGACACCTGAACTAGCTCATCCCACAGCTCAGGCTGACAGTTCTAAAATAATAGGCCACAATTTTAAGTTGGCCTGTTCCTGAATAAGGGGCAAACCAAACAGAACCTGAAGTGCTTTCTGGGCTCTAGAAAGACCAGTTACAGCCAGTTTCAAAGCTGTTCTTGTCTCCTACCTGTCCATGCCTTCATTTTCAACGTACCCTCAAAATTTCATGGGCATGTATATCATAATGCTTGTATTTCAACTATATGCCAACTGGAAAGCTCTATATCCTCCTTTATTGTAGTCCACAGGTTTTTCTAAGTCTTTCTTCAAATAATAATGATAACCTACTGTCTACGTTATTTAGCTTTTCCTATTTATGACACTACGCATCTCTTCGTATCTGTCACTTGTCTTCTTCCCCTCTGCACACTGGTGAGTGTGTAAGAAATTTGGAGAAAATAGGACTGAATAGGAATGATCCACTTAGATGATTAAAGCTGCAGTAAACTGAGTAAACTGAAAACAAATCAAACCAGTTATTAGTGTGGTTGGCAGGGAGGCAGAAGCCCAAATGCTCCTCACAAACAAGTAGAGAACACAGTCAAGCAAAACAAAATAGCACTATGTATTTGCTATCTGCAACAACACTTATTCTTCTCTATCAGGTGCTAGCCAGGACAATCAGGGGCCAGAGGCTATGGATCACCATATGCTTACATTTACATGCTTAAAGTTACATAATTAATAGTGGATATGGTTACACACAACATATCCTTTAGTTTTAACGGCCTATGAGTATACCCAGCATAAAATCATAGCCTGTTGTGGAAAAGAGATACAAGTCATAAATACTCAGTTCAGGAATGCAGGTTACTGGTGTGCAAAAAGCACATGAATCAGAGGTGACTAACAAGACAGAACACTGCAACTTCTAACTCTGCAGGCCCTAGTCTGTATATAACAGACACAACAAGGCAGAGACCTTGCTGAGTGAGCTCATAGCACCTTGGTAGCACCTTAATTATCCAAGCCTTCAGATGTATGTCCCATATTACAAAAAAAAAAAAAAAAAAAGGAGTGGAGATAACAGAGCAACATTGGAATTATCTCAGGTAGTTCAAACAGGTGGTACCTTCGAAGTATCCCTGTGAAGTGTGTATTCATGAGGAACACTTGGAGCACAGAGTTCAGACAGCAGCTCTGCCCGATGTTGTACAGTCCAATAGCTCCTGTAGGCACAGAAACAGAGGAAGTGAGGCCTGAAGATAGGTACAAGAGAAGAAAGTGAAAATTATTTGAAAGCGGCAAACTCCTCTTGCGCATATTCAGCCATTCAGTGTATAGGCCCAGGATCTTGGTCTGACCTGAGAAAGTGTCCATCTATTACGCTGCTCAAGCAGATAACATTTTTGTGCGGCAACCGACAGAAAAAATCCAAGTAAACCTGGATTATGATACTTAAATGTCTCCCAGTTCCTCTACTGTCAGTCCTCTCATTACACACCTAAATATAAAATAAAAAAAAAAAAAAAAAAAAACAGAAGTCAAAGGCTGCCTCTACGAGGATTTTTATACAGCCTTTTACACAGCCAGGCCTAATAACAAAATTAAGAGCCACATGTGGGACCACACGCTAGCTGTCCACCACACAGGCTTCAAGTTTCCCCTTCAGCCTACGTCTGGTATTCTTTGTCTCAGTTTCAGAGAAAGGAACTAGCCTGAGAGGAGTGGAAAAAGCAAGTGACAGCTGTCCAGACTGCACCTGAAAAGACAGCACATTCTGTGCCCCAAAGCAGCATAAGTAACCATGGTCAGAAATTAGAAGTTCTTCTGAAGACATCACCAAAGGGAAAAAGGGCATGGAATAGAAACTCAGAAAAACTCTGAAATGCACACAGTCGGTAGTAAGGGTGGCCTATAGCTGGGACAGAACCGTATGCACACCTGAAATACTGATGACAGCTTTTGAGAGGCTGGTCTAGTGATGCAGTAGAATAACTAGGGCCTAGTCCATGGTTTAGAAAAATTAGAAGCAATGCTGACTGTGTTTGGAAAGAGACAGGGCCAGCACCTACACCTTTTTGGCTGCAATGGCCAATATGAGGACTTAAAATGGGAAAAAGCTCTAAGATCCTCATGTAGCCCCTCCCCAAAAAACCAAAATGCTTACTTGGCAGGGCAAAATGAGACTCATCTGTATATTTCTCAGTGAAGAGGTAAAGAATAGGAGAAAATTAAGCCAAGGGAGAGTGGAACAGCAGACATTAAAAACAGAAAATATGAGAGTGAAGAACAGACAGAACATCATTACCATTTTTTAAGTCTGCTACACCAAAGACTGATGTTAGCCTCTGGTCTTTGGTCTTCATCTCTTTGACTTCTTCTTTATCATTTCGTACTTCTGCTTCGGTCATCATGGTCTCGCTTAGTACTGGCTCTAGTTTCTTGCTTCTTTTTTGACGTCCACTTCTTTGTCCCATCAACAATATTGTACAAAGACAGAAGGACTGCAGAAAGACACGGAAAGATCAGAAAGAGAGGCAGCACCCAGAAACACAGGATTTGTCTTTGATATTTTCATTATGAAAAAGCTGGAATGTCAATACAATTAGTAAGATTGCTGTGACAACATTTGGTATATTTGAATTAACATGGGTATTGTAGGTGCGCAGGCTATTGGCAAGGTAACAGACATGGAGCTTGAAGGCAACTGTACATCCTGTCTTCCTTTTGTGGCTAAATAACCTTCCTTTCCACAGAAAGAGCTCCACCTAGCTGGGGAACTCCAGATATCCCTGTTCAAGAAGATGTGATAAATAATGTGATTTAAATTGACCAAATGGCAGATATTGCAAAACTCCTCTGTTCAGTAAAAGCAATGCTTTATCACCCACAGTATCCCAAGCATTCAAAAGGGCAAATTTCACCTCTAGCCTTTTGAGCTGATAAGCATTTGTTTTCTGTCCTGGGCTCTCTGCACTGTTTTTAAGCACCTTAGTCACAGCTCTATGGTGGCAGTGGCACTTTGGACTGTAATTTTTAAAGGCATGTAAGCACCTAGCTATCAGTTCCTTTTTACGCTCCTTCAAGTGATCACCAGGGAAGTAACTGTTTAAGCAAGAAAACCATTATAATGCCTTGATTTTCAAGGGAGTACTGAACAAACAATTACTCTGACAGTCTCTTGTGACTCAGCTACTACTAAGTTTAAAAAAAGAAAAATCACCAAACTAAAGCAAAGTAAAAATACACAAGCAAGACAATGTGACAAATGTTCAAATGCAATGACACAAAAATTAAACTTTTTAAAAGCTCAACTCCAACAGGGAGGCAGAATTGGAAAAAAAAGGATACGCGTAGGGAGGCATTCATGGGGGGGCGGGACACACATCAACAAGAAAACACAAAACGAATGCTCAGAAATTATTATTTTACAAATATTAAACAGCACAGAAAATGAACCTGGGGCCAGGCGCTGAAAGAATGAAGCTACCAAGAAAGGGATATAAGCAAAAAAGTCCTGGTTCTGCCTTTCACAAAAAATCCCCCTTTGCTTTAAAAGCATGTTATTTTTCAGGTTAACTGTACTTAATAATGTTAAATATCAAAGTTGCTGAAGATTCAGGTACGGAAACTAGAAATGGATTATTTCCCCCTCCCCATCAGTTATTACCTTTAAGCTTAAGTATACTTTTTTCCCAACTGTTCATTTGATTCTTCACTTTTAAAGATTGCTTTTGAACTCCAAGTGTCGTATATTCGGTTTCACTAAATATTACTGAATTTGATGAGGAGTTTTATTTGGGGGAAAAAAAAATAAACTCAGACATTAAAAAATAGATTCAAGAATATTGCTTTTTATATCCAAACCCAGTGATTAGAACAGGTATGCAGGAAAATAAAAATTGGATTAGATTCTTTCCTCAGCAAAACAGAGTTTGAACTCACACCGCCTCTTCCCCTGGAAATAATTTAATGAGGCATTCAGGTTTCCAAAAGCCTAGCTGGAACCCATCTTTGCTTGTACCAGGAGAGCCACTGGGTTTAGCTGGTGTAGTATCAGCCAGAAGGTAAGTAATGCTCACAGTCAATGGGTATGCCAAGGGACACAGAAAGGAGGGGGACAGGCAGAGCAGAGGTAGCTAAACAACAGCTAGGGTTGTACTGGGGGTGCGGCAAACTCGCAAGACACAGCTTTTGGCAGGAGAGGTAGGGGTGAGGTATGTGGGATGAAAGAGCAAGCTCCAGGTTAAAAGGTTTGGGGCAACTTGAGAAACAGGTCAAAAGATATTAGTGCAGTAAAGTGCAGGGAGATATAGAAATGGGAGGATTTGGGTCTCTGGTTCAATGAAGCTCTCCCCCAGGCACTAGTAGTGGGAACCCCAGTGCAGGAGCAGGGACACGAACACAACTTCCTAACTCTTGCACAGAACTGCCTCATTTTGACTATCAGAAATACGGCATTCCTAATATTTCCACTTAACCTTCCTTTTCTTGCGTAAGTGTATAAAATATCTGATGAGTGAGCCCAGAAACTGAGGTGCAGGCTTCCCTCTTGCCCCCGATTTCCCCTCTCTCACTGGAGGACCAGAGTTGCAGCTCAGTTTCTTTTGCAGGTCCGAGGTAGGACTCAGAACCGCTCCCTCAACGTACGTGGCTTGGCCAAGCCAAGCGACCACGCTAGAGCTGGGCAGAGAAACGGTAGCACCATACCCTCCTCACACCCTAGAACCATCTAGCTCTCTCGCCCACCCTCCCTCAGCATCCTCCCTTTCACCCCAGCCTGCTCCACACAGCCGCTCTGCCCTCCCGACAAACCCCCAAAAGTCCCTTACACCCCTGTACCACAGCCCCCAAGGCTCCCCTCGGCCCCTTGCCGCCTCTCCCTCACCGCCGTCGCCCCTTTCTCCTCGCAGGTATTTCAGGGAGCAGGCGGCCGGCGGGATGGTGCTGGGGTGGGAGGTGGGCTGCGAGGCAGCGGTATGAAATTACGCATCAGTTCGGCTCCCGTTTTCCCCTTTCTTTCCCCCTTCCCCCCCCCTTTCTCCTGACACACTGGGGCTCTGGCTCATCCTACCCCCGACAAGCCAGCAAAAAGCTTCCTTACCAATCCCCACAGGACCAGGAGCGCCTCGGCGAGACCTTCCTTCACCCGCCGCTGACAGGTACTCGGGACGCCCCGCCTGGACCCCAGGGGAGCACCCCGGTTTGGCGGGCCTGCCCGGTCACTGCCACCCGGGGAGGACCGCCGGCAGCGAGGGGAGGGCAGCGGCGGTGCTGCGGGGCGGAACGGGGCTGTCCCGCCGCTTTCCTCGCCGGCTGCGCCAAAGGGCGGCAGCGCTCATTCCGCCGCTTAGTTTTCGTTTCCTGCTCCGCGGAGCTCAGGAACAGAAAGTGAAACTGAGCTCCGCCGCCTCCGCGGCCCGCCCCTGCGAGATGGCGGCGCGGCCTGGCGGGCCGGGGGTGGGAGAACGGCGGCCGAGGTGCCTTTTCCTCAGGGGCTGCCCGGTCGCCTCGGGGGCCGCAGGCCCGGTGGGAATTGCCCTGACACCGGACGGCGGCAGCTGGGGGAAGGCGGTGACACCCTTTGCCACCTCCCTGCCCCGCTCCCACACCTCGGCCTGGTTTCTTCTGGGCAGAGGCAAGAGTGAGCTTTAAAGGGAGGGATGAGAAATTGAGCTCTGGGGGGAAAAACGCTCTTTTTCAGCGGTGGCAGTACTCAGGGGATTTGTTCTGCCTGGACTTCATGTGGTAGTTTGTTATCTCTCAAAAGCAGAAATGCGTTCCCCCTGGCGTTTGTTGGGTTTAGTCACCAATGCAACACAAAAGCCAAACTCACTGAGGCCTACAGTTGCCTACCTAGAAGCAAGAAATATCTCATTTAGAATAAATATGTAACTCGCTTAGAAACTTAACCCATGTGGCAAACTGAAAGGCTTGGCGGTTTCCCATCAAATGGCGGGCTGTGGTGTACAGCAGGAGATAAAAGTGGCAGCACAGCAGTAAACAAGTACGCCAAGCCAAGCAGTGAGATTTCAGGCCTCAACAAGTTACCTATGTCTGGTCAAGCAGAAGTTCTCAGGTGGCCGCTTCTTCAGTGTGTGTGTTGGGTTTCCAGGCTTTCTCCTCGATCTTATTCCCGGGTGTCTGCAGGAGGAACAGAGGGCCACAGCACCCCATAAGGGAGCTTTGCTTGTTGGAGGATGCCCACTGGCCCAGCTGTGCTCCACTTAAGAAGATGGGCAAGTTTAAAGGTGAGTAATGCTGCCCCACATTGCCCAGCTGAATGGGGAAATGGTGCGAGTGACGTAGGGAGTCCTGCTGTGTGTGTGAAATAGCTTGAGTCTCTGGAACCCCAGAAGGGAGAGTCACAGTTTGATTTGCCAGGGCACACCTGCCTCCCCTTTATGGAGGAGCTCCAGCTGAGTCAGAGATACCATGTCCTTCCCTTGCAGCTGCCACCAGATGGTCCCCAGGGCCAGATTCAAACCCTAAGCCCTTCCCCTCTCTCTCTCTCTCTGCCTGTAGGGTTGGTTTAGCAGGACATGAGGGACTAGTGAGGGGGAAGGTGTTGCCCCCTTCCACAGGCTGTACAGAGCTCCTGAAGCTGACTGGTGTCTTTGGGGTACCCCTTTGCCCCTTCTGTGAGCTGCTAACAAACTGAATTCACATGTGCTATGCAGAAGCCTTCAGCTGTTTTCTCACTAATTTACTAAATTCAAGGAATGTTACAGAAAAAAACAGGTGTGGGGAGGAAAACCACAGCTTAATGTAACCTTGACTTGCCAGCTCCTTCCTGTATTACACAGATATTTAGTGGTTATAGACAGAATTTATGAGTTGAATGTGCAAGTTCGTAATAACATTTCTGCAGCAAAGATGCTTTACAGGGCATTAAGTGACATAAGTGTTGTTATTATTAACATACTGTTTGTTCCTGTTACGCCCTGAACGAAAGAGCCAGCCCTTTGAGGTAGGTGGCTGGAAGACTTCAAGTCTTCAGAGGAGGATGAATGCAACCCTGATGATGATGATGAGAAGGGACGTTCGCTGCCTCCCCTTTGTCACATAACACAGATTACTTCGGGTGCACCTTCTGGGGGAAGGTGCTAACATGGATTTATTGTGGAGAGAGGCTCAATGGTCCGTAGTTCTTCCATTAGCACAGCTGAGAACAGCATGTGCTCCCAGCCCTGTGTCAGGTACCCCTGTGCAGCCCCTGCCCTGCTTTACTGAACCAGGGGAAGGAGACAGCACATAGGAGGCTTTCAGAGGGGTTGTCTGGCGCCCATCGGAGCTGTTGTTGCAGTCCTCACAGAAGAAGTCCCAGTTGCATACCCTTTGGGCAGGTTATGGAGAACCTGCCTGAAGAACCTGGCTCCGTTGGAGGCAGCACAGAGGCCTGGCAGTCAGAGCTCTTCAGCCAAGGCAGCAGTGGCAGTGAAAATCTTCCTGGGTTGTCACGTGGGTGGGTATGGATATCTGTAGGGGTTTGAGAGCAGAATACAAAGGACTCAGCATCTTTGCTGTGACTCTGTCAAAGCCTCTTGGCAATGGTTTAAATTTAGTGATATTCCCTTTCTATTGCTAGCTTGTGTAGGGTCTGCCTGATAGAAGGGAAGAAGAGAGAGAGAACTGCTAAGCCGTAAGTTGCCTAGAGACAGTTAAACCACCTGAGCAAAGTGCAAACTGACACTGGAGATTAAACAGGAACTAGGCCTGACAGGTCTGTGGAAGCTAGTGAAACAGTGCAGCTGAAGTTGATTTTGGTAATGACCCCTGTGAGAGCCTGGATGCTCAATTAAGAGGAGCGTATGTCTTATTTAAGAATATTTTAAGCTTTTCCTGTGGAAGTCAGTTGTGATGCTCCACTTCCAAAACAGGTAACAGGCAGAAGACTGATCCCCAAAAGTGTGCTTAGATGAAGGGATGGCTAAAACTGAAAGATTCAGCATTTGGGTCTCCATATACACTGCCTGCTGAGTGTCATAGTGTAGTATCACTGACAAAAGCTGCTAGTGCCTGATAACTGCCACAGCACTTCTAAAGGAATCTCCAAACTATTCCAAAATGTGCATTGGCAACTGCAAGATCAGGGATCCTGATTCCTAAGTGTCCTTGCAAATAAAATAAACAGTAACATTGATGATCAGGATGAGATTTAAAAAGCTTTCAGAAAGTTAAGGACTCCACACCCAGTGTTTTAGAATGCATAAAGTACTCCACAGTAGATCAATAACTTCCACCTCTGCATTGCTTTCAGCAGCTTTTCAAAGAACAGAGCAAGCAATTAATCTACCATTTTTTACCACACTTTTTGTCTTTAACTTGCCCCCTATTTCTTTTCTGTCACTGGAAGAGCAGGGTCACTTCTTGGTTTGAACACATACCTGTGTTTCATGTATGAAATTTCCTGTTTCTGTTTTTGGTCCCAATTCAGAACAGAACTGTGAGGGGAGACATGTAAGAGTCTAAATCCCACTAGGTTGGGTAATACTTATTCATGTTGCTTCAATTTAGGTGCATAATCAAGTATGTCCTGAATAGGATGTTTTCCTAAACAGAGATATTTCTGGTACAGAGCATGCAGGTTCAATGTGATGTACTGTGAAATGTAACTGCCAACAGAAATATAAACCTCTACATGAAGATGATCACAGAATGGTTGAGTTTGAAGGGCCCTCTGGAGATCATCTGGTCCAACCCCTCTGCTCAGGCAGGGCCATCTAGAGCATGTTGCCTGGGACCATGTCCAGGTGGCTTTTGAATATGTTCAGGGAGGGAGATTCCACAACCTCCCTGAGCAACCTATGCCAGTGCTCAATCACACTCACAGTAGAAGTATTTCCTGATGTTCAGACAGATCCTCCTCTGTTTCATTTTGTGTCTATTGCCTCTTGTCCTGTCACTGGGCACCACTGAAAAGAGCCTGGCTCCATCTTCTTTACATCCTCCCTTCAAGTATTTATATACATTGACAAGATCCTCCCTGAGCTTTATCTTCTCCAGGGTGAACAGTCCCAGCTCTCTCAGCCTTTCCTCATAGGAGAGATGCTGCAGGCCCTTAATCATATTTGTGGCCCTTTGCTGGGCTCTGTCCAATATGTCCATGGCTCTCCTGTACCAAGAAGTCCAGAACTGGACATAGTACTCCAGATGTGGCCTCACCAGTGCTGAGCAGAGTGGAAGGATCATCTTTGACCTCCCTAAGCACAGCATAGCTAGCCAGTCAAGGGAGGTGATTGATTGTTTCACTCTACACTGCACTAGTGCAGCCCCACCTTGAGTACTGAGTGTGGTTTTGGGTACCTCAATGTCAGAAGGACATCAAACTATTAGTGTGTCCAGAGGAGAGTGACCAAGATAGTGAAAAGTCTCGAGGGCAAGACTTACAAGGAGCGACTGAGGTCACTTGGCTTGTTCAGCCTGGAGAAGAGAACGTTGACGGGTGACCTTATCCCAGTCTACAGCTTCCTCAAGCTGGGCTGCAGAGGGGGCATCTCCTCTCTCTGGTAACCAGTGGTAGGACATGAGGAAATGGAATGAAGCTGCACCAGAGGAAGTTCAGACTGGACATTAGGAAAAGGTTCTTCACTGAGAGGGTAGCTGGTCACTGAAACAGGCTCCTCAGGGAAGCAGTCATGGCACCAGGTCTGTCAGAATTCAAGGAGCATCAGGATGACACTCTTAGTCATATGATTTAGTTTTAGATAGTCCTGCAAGGAGCAGGGAATTGGACTTGATGATCCTTATGGGTCCCTTCCAACTTGACATATTCTATGATTCTATGATCTACTTCGCCTAATGCAGTCCAGGATACCAACTGCCTTCTTTGCAGCAAGGGCACATTGCTGGCTCACGTTCAACTTGGTGTCCATCAGGATCACCAGGTTGCTTTTTGCAAAGCTGCTTTCCAGCTGGGTGGACCCCAACACATATTGGTGAATGGAATTGTTCCTCCCCAGGTTCAGGACTTTGCACTTCCCTTTGTTGAACTTCAAGAGGTTCCTGTCAGCCCATTTCTCCAGCCTGTAGAGGTCCCTCTGGATAGCAGCACAACTCTGGTGTATCAGCCACTCCTCCCAGTTTTGTGTCATCTGCAAACTTGCTGAGGATACAGTCTGCCCCATCACCCAGATCACTATTGAAGATGTTGAGTAGGACTGGATCCAGTACTGACCCTGGGGTACACTGCTAGTTAATGGCCTCCAACTAAACTTTGTGCCACTGATCACTACCCTCTGGGCCTGACCATTCAGCCAGTTTTCAGACCACCTCACTGCTCATCCAGCCCATACTTCAAAAGCTTCTATATAAGGATCCTATGGGAATCAGTGTTGAAAGCCTTATTCATGTCTAGGTCAACAGGATCCACTGCTCTCCCCTTGTCTACCAGGCCAGTTGTTTTATCATAGAAGGTTATTGAATTGGTCAAGCATGACTTCCTGTTGGTGAATCCCTGATGATTTTCTGATTATTTTCTTCTTGTTCATGTGACTGGAAATGGTTTCCAGAATCAGCTGCTTCATTACCTTCCCAGGGATTGAAGTGAGGCTGACCAGCCTGTAGTTCCCTGGGTCCTCCTTCTTGCCCTTTTTGAAGGTAGGAGTGACACTTGCTTTCTTCCGGTCTTTGGGCACTTCTCCCAATCACCATGATCAATCAAAGATTATCAAGAGTCGCCTTGCAATGACATCTGCCAGCTGCCTCAGCACTTGTGGATGCATCTCATCAAGGACCTAGACCTAGATAAAGAGTCGCTGAGGGGTTTCCTAGTCAAGAAAAATTGTCATTGCCTAGCAAAGTGTGAATCCTATAAATCCAAGATCTTTGATCACTATGAATTATTTTTGAGTAAACATTCAAATGCCTGTATTGCAGACTCACTTGCACATGGTGAACTAAATAAACATTCCCACAGGTGACATAGTGGTCTGCTGGATAAAGCAGAGGCTGCTTCTTGCAGAGGAAGAACCATTCAGGTAGCAGAAGGAATACTGAAATGTTTTCAGTAGGGATGATGCAAAAAAAAGTTGGTTTGTTTTTTTTTAAAAAAGGAGGGAATTTTCTCATTTAAAGTTTCATGGAGACACAGAAGAAAATTCATATGCTTGCTGCAGTGGCACCCAACCAAATCCCCCAAACATTGAAAAACTGCACTGCTTTAACATTTCTGAAGAGTTTGCTTTATCAGAAATGGTGTTTCAGAGAAGAGTGAAATGTCCCTTTTAGGTCAGTCAGCTGAAAGTCAATGAGAGGATAATAAAGCACAGAGCAGAGGACCCATTTTTCTGTGGTCATTATTTTTTGACATGCCAGTAAACAAAAGGTGAAGGTATGTCAAATTAGAACTTTGAAAACACTACCGATTCACTGAGATCCATTATAAGGTTCCATATATTGTGTTGTAATGGTCTTAGCATGTGTATTAGAGCTTGAAGAGGTGTATCAGAGCCTTACCTTAAATATGCAAGAAAGAAAAGCAAGTCTTTTTGCATTGCTAAGAGTGGTGGGGCATTACTACAACTGATCGTATCTTATAGGACAATTTACCTGTGATTTATGGAATAAAAGATGTCTCTATGTGACCCCTCCTGAATTTCTATATATTATGTACAAAAAAGGTGAGCTAATGGTAGACGTGCAAAACAGTAATACAGAGACAAATCTGTGCTCTATAGGAACAAAGTGTATTTTAAAATTACTCCCCATCATTTTCTTCTTCAAATGAGTCAGTTCCCACTTCTTCATAGTCCTTCTCCAGTGCAGCCAGGTCTTCTCGGGCTTCTGCGAATTCTCCCTCCTCCATGCCTTCACCCACATACCAGTGCACAAAAGCTCTCTTGGCATACATCAGATCAAACTTGTGGTCGAGCCTTGCCCAAGCCTCTGCAATGGCCGTGGTGTTGCTCAGCATGCACACTGCTCGCTGAACCTGGGCCAGGTCTCCACCAGGAACTACTGTAGGAGGCTGATAGTTGATACCAACCTGAAAACAAGAATATGAGAGAAGGTTGTAAAAAGGCAAGAGCAGAAAGCAGTCAAAGAGCTGAAAAAAATGCGAGTAAAGATACAGATGTTGGGGTGGATGATGTCACTATGAAAACTACCAGATGGCAAATGCCGTAAAAAATAATAACAGTCATGAACAGTATGAAACATGGTAATTTCAGTGTCTGTATTGTTCTTCTGTTTAATGTACACTGGCTACTCTGTAGCTTTCTTAACAGCTACCAACACTGAACATACAATTTCACCAAGATAATCTGTAGAAACTCATACAGAAAGTTGGTTCCCAGTTAAAAGTTTTCACATTGTTAAACCAGCTATTTGTATGACAGTATTTTTCCACTGCTAATGTCTGTGTTATTGTTGAAATCACGTTTCCCAACACTGCTATGTGGCCAGTGGAAAGAGGCTGTATAATATTTCTGGATGAGAGAGTTAACTGACAGATTCCCTGATATCAGCATTTCCTTTATTGATTGTATCGCTTTTGATATTTCCTTAGTTTTAGATGTTGCTTCAGAGGACATACTCTCTGGATTTTCCAAAATTCAGGTCTGAAAAGAATGCTTTTTAAAATTTTAACTCATACACTTCAGATTTCCATTTAGGTAAATATTTAGGAGTCTATATCAATGGGTTGTCTAATGGAGAAAGGGCACGTTTTATACAAATGCATCTTGCCTATGTTGCTGTTTCTCACAAGTGGAAAACGTACAAGATCTAGAAGTTTAAATACAAGTTTCCCCCTAGACTGAACTTGCCCTTTCAACATTAAAGAGAAGCTCGTGGCAGCTCTACTCACCTTGAAGCCTGTTGGACACCAGTCGACAAACTGGATAGTTCTCTTGGTCTTGATGGCAGCAATCGCTACGTTGACATCTTTGGGGACTACGTCACCACGGTAGAGCATGCAGCAGGCCATGTACTTCCCATGTCTTGGGTCACACTTCACCATCTGGTTGTTGGGCTCAAAGCAGGAGTTGGTGATTTCAGCCACCGAGAGCTGCTCGTGATACGCTCTGTCAGAGGAGATGATGGGGGCGTAGGTCACTAAGGGGAAGTGGATGCGTGGGTAGGGCACCAGGTTTGTCTGGAACTCCGTCAGATCCACGTTGAGGGCTCCGTCGAAGCGCAGTGAGGCGGTGATGGAGGAGACGATCTGGCTGATGAGGCGGTTGAGGTTAGTGTAAGTGGGGCGCTCAATGTCCAGGTTCCTGCGGCAGATGTCGTAGATGGCCTCATTATCCACCATGAAGGCACAGTCCGAGTGCTCCAGGGTGGTATGCGTGGTCAGGATGGCATTGTAGGGCTCCACCACAGCTGTGGAGACCTGAGGGGCTGGGTAGACGGCAAACTCCAGTTTGGACTTCTTTCCGTAATCCATGGAGAGGCGTTCCATCAGTAAGGAGGTAAAGCCAGAGCCGGTACCGCCACCAAAGCTGTGGAAGATCAGGAATCCTTGCAGCCCAGAACAGGCATCAGTCTACAAAGCAAAACAGAAGGTGAAAGAATAGGGGCTGAAGAAGAATAAAAAGACTTTGTCTGCTATGTGAGCTTATTCTGAGCTGAAGGAGATAGCAGTCATCAGCAATATACAGCACAGATTTCATTTCAGGTTTTCTTGAGAAAGGGCTGGTGATAATCCTGTCCTCTTCTTTTTTCACTGGCTTAATTTGTCACGTAAAAATTGGACTCTTATCTGTGGAGCTTCTCTCTCTGAACCTCACACTTCTTTTAGTTAGTCTAGCTGAAAGCAGCAATGTAGAATTGCCTAATCCACCTGTCTATATCAGTCAGTATTGCTGCTCTAGGGCTGTGCTAATAAGGAAGAATTATATACTCATAACCACTTTTTAAGAATATGTAGATGGGAAGTAATCTACTGGGCTTCTCTCTCTTGGACTAGTAATGATGCCTCTGGGTGTCTTGCAACCTCTTTTCTGAACCATTGTTATCATTTGTAGTTAAGAAACTACCTGTTCTGCACTTCTTTCTTCTGCAGAATCCAAACTGCTGTTGCAAAACTACTGGGACTTACCAGCTTACGGACACGATCAAGCACCATATCAATGCTTTCTTTGCCAATGGTGTAGTGGCCACGGGCATAGTTGTTAGCTGCGTCTTCCTTTCCAGTGATCAGCTGTTCTGGATGAAAAAGTTCCCGGAAGGTGCCAGCCCGCACTTCATCTGAACAAGAAGGAGAAATTGTAAGAAGCTGCATGGCTGTGCTGCAGGGCCAAGTTCTGGTTGTTGTTGGCATTGATGCAAGGTTGCAGTCATGGGAGGTCATGACCCCAAAAAACAGAGAAGGGAACTGTCTCCTAAGCATTTTTTTTATATTGTTGCATTGTGGTGATTTATGGCGTGACTTGTATCCAGCCACAGAAGTTGTTATCTTCTCATAAACTTGTCAGTTTTACAGCCTGTACCCATAAGAGGACAAGTCACCAGAAAAAAAGTGTGAAGGAAATCAGGTTCCCCTAGGTGCCCCGATTTTTAGAAATCCTTCTATTCATGGAGGGAAACTGTCAGGCTCCCAATTTGAATCCGAATCAGAGAAGAGCAGAATTCAAATGGCAAAAATGTCATGATAAGCTAAACCAGAAGTTAAATGTTTGTGCAAAGCGCAGTCATACAAACCATGTGTACTAGCTATCAAGTTGCTGGGGATCCTGCCATTCCCGTGTTTATAACATTATGACAGAATCTGGCATTTTGTGTCACAAGAAAATTAATTTCATGCTATCTAGTGGTAGACCAAAATAGAAAAGGTGTGCTGCATTGTACCAGTGGAGACTGGTGGCACACCATGGTGATATTAGGAAGAGTAAGCTCTTCTCCATTTTCCAGGGGTTTTTCTATACTGACCTACTACAGTTGGTTCCAAGTCCACCATTACAGCCCGTGGCACATGCTTCCCAGTGATGGTTTCATTGAAAAATGTGGTAAAAGAGTCGTCAGAGTTGAGTTTAGCATGTAGATCCTTGAAGGTGCCGTCGGGCTGAATGCCGTGCTCCAAGCAAAAGAGTTCCCAGCATGTGTTTCCCATCTGAACTCCAGCCTGGCCAACATGAATAGAGATGCACTCGCGCTAAGAGGAGAGAGCAGAGACAGGGGCGAGAAGACAGTGCACATTAGTCCTCCTTATTCCCAGTGGTGACTTTTTCCCAGTGCATTGCTTTTCCCAAACAATGGTGAATTGTTACTGCCAGCATTTAATTTGGTTGTTCAACCCCATGACTACAGTGAGAATTAACTTACACATGCTGGATACTGGGACAGTTCTTTGAAAAATTGAGATCTGTGTGCTGTAATATATGAATACATGAAAACAGGCAGGGAAAAAAAAAAAAAAAAGTCAGTAACAGAAACCCAACCTTTCCTCCTATGAATTGGCCCTGCTGAAGAGCACATCCCAGTTTAGTTTATTTTTACTCCTGGCTGGAACCTGACACAGCCATGTGGTATCCTTCAGCCTTATGTAACCCAAGACAGGTGATGTCTTTTGATCCTTTTACCCTCTGATAGCAGGCTGGAGTGGAAACTTGGAAGAACTGCTTTAAGCAATATTCACCTCAGAAAATTATTTCAGATTCTCTCGGTTGAAACAAATGCTCCTTCAATCTCCTGAGCAGCTATGATTTTTACATTGCAGATCCGTTGCTTATTCAGGCGGTGTCATTGCAATATAGCGTGTTTATTTGCAAAATTTTGAGGATAGTTTCTGTGGTAACCAGGAACTTTAATGAAAAGAAAGCAATGTATGTAACACCAGGCTAAAATATGAAGGTGCCAATTGCTCCAAAATCCTTTACGCTTAAGAGTACAGGAGTATGAAGGACCTGGTGCTGGATTTCATAAGTTCAGAAACAGAATTATAAAGCAGATACTTCTGGGTTAGTCCCAATGATTACAACACCAGGTGTAGGGAAAGGCTGTTTCTTAAGATGGGAGTGTTTTCAGATGTGGAGTTTTTCAGCTTCAGTTTCTGCTTTGGAACAATTTTAATTAGTCTTCTGAGCTCTGCCTCTCTGATCTAAATGGCCCTGTCTATACAAGGGAGTAAGAAAGGGTCAGGTCATAGTACTGAACACTGGCCTGTGATCGCCTGTGCTGATTGATCATTAAGACACTCTCTGGCACAGTTTTGGCTTATGCCATTTCATGCTTTTCCAGACAACGCCTAGGCACCATCCAGAGTACAACTCCTGGTCAAGAATGGTTTCCAGTGAGCAGCTCACTGACCACTGCCTAACTTTGGAGGCAGAAACAGAATTCAGATGCCAAAATATGAAGCAGGCCATGCTACCTGGCATCAAGGCCAGAGAATGGCCCTCGCTCATTTTTATTTTGTAATATCGCATTTAGAGGTATCCAATGACTTAATATCAGATTTGGCCAGTTTGTTTTTTTTTTTTTTTTTTTTTAAATTATATAATTGCTTACCCTGCAAAATCATCCTGTAACCTGAGAGTGAAATGCATCTTCCCCAAAAACTAAATCCTCAGGCAGAATGTGTGACCAGCAGAATCTCTGGAACAGTGTTTTCTTCACAAATTGGCATATATTTATGTTTTAGAAACATAATTGAAGATATTTTTTCAGAAGGAAGTGGAATTTCAGAAGTCACCACTCACTACTACCCTGATTAGTCATCCGCAGAAGTTCAAATGAATATGGAAAGTCAATTTAAATATTTTATTCAATGAAATATATTATTTCTATTCAGTACTTATATGTAAGTTGCTGACTCTACAAATACATGTGCAGCAGTGTATGTAATGTGCTCTCAAGTGTACTTGCACAACCCTGTTTTTTTCAACTGAGTTGTGCAAAAGTACCTGAGTTATTTGAGTGATGATGAGGCTTCATAGCTCAGTATGTTGCAGGGGAGTTGCAATCTGGAGGATTACTCAAAAGACATGAAGGCATATTTGGGTTTAGAAAATTCATATAATGCTGATTTTGCACAGGACAGGCTCCTGCTTTTCTTTTAAATCCCAATGTGAATCTGTGAGGCTGGCAGCAAGGAAAAAATAAAAGCTTTTTCCTTTTAAATGTGGCAATGAGGCCAGCTGACTTTTGTAAGAGTATTTTTTAGCTCAAAACTACAATTACAAGTCAAGCAATACTTGGAACCTAAAGAGCTGCTTTGCTCTGTTCCTCAGATCAGTAGGTGAATTGGTCTGTTTTTTCATAGATGGAAGAAGTGAGGGTTGCCTTAGGAAGTTAATACTGTAAAGCTCAGTATAGGACTACAGCTGAAGACTGAAGAACCGGTTCCTTTCCTTTTAGACTGAGTTTTCAGCTGTGCTAGCTTGAACCAGTATCTCAGCCTTGCCTTTTGAGCCAGGCCTCTTGCTGTGTTCCTGCCTTCATCTCCCATCTTTTCCTACCCCAGCAATAATTTGGAAATATTCTAACAAGAGAAAACAGTAACAAGGAGGTTTCTAATTTTGCATAGTAAACAGCTTTAAAATAGATATCAGACTTTTAGCAGGGAAGAGAGTGGGTCTTCTTCAGAGCCACAGGCAGGGTAAACTGATCACTACATGGTATTTAAATTTGGATCCAACTCCAAACTCATGTTTCTTTCTCACCCCATCAGTAAAGTACCAGAACCTGACTTTTTATCTACCAAGAGACAGTAGAATGGGCCAGGTCCTTTGTGAAACTAAACCTGGGAGAGCTTTGACTGTATTAAAAAAACAGAATACTACCTGGCTTAAGTGGTTAGTGCACAAAGGCAAACTTTAGTCTTTCAGCTCTTCCCAAAACATGCTCACTACCCTAGGTCTGCCTTAAGCCATGGGGAGCCTGTGGAAGCGTGTATCTTGCCTGCAAAATCAGTGCTCTCATTTTGGATCTGCAGCTGTACTGGCAGAAGACAACATAGCTCTCTGCACCAAAATAAGACTCAGTGAGAGACATGAATTGGGGTACAAGGGGAAGTGGATTTTTCACATTCTAAGAGGTTTTGAGAGATTTCTACAAATTTATATTAACCCCCAAATCTTAAAAATGAAGAGCCTTTTTTACTTACCTCAACACTTATATGTATAGAAACATTTATGCACTCCAGAAACGCACATGTATACACTGTATAGCTATGAACAGTACAGCCATTGGGATTAAATTAATTTAAAACAGACACAAAGGTAAGTAACTTTTTTTGGTTTATTTCTTAAAACAAACCTATTATCTCATATGAAAATCAGCCTGTGTTGAGAAAATGTTGTCACAACAGAAAGTACTAAAAAGCCAAGACTCCAGCTCTGACTTATCTTGTAATTCCACTAATTAGAGGCTCTCTGAAGAAAACTTGGGTTCACCATGCCTTACAGCTCCGGTGAGATTTTCTGACACTCCTTTCCCATCCTCTTACACGGTACTCGGTGCGTGGGATCAGGGTGTTGTGGCACAAAGCACCGCTAACAACCGCAGATCACCAGCAGATCCCCTTGCCTTCCCTCGCCCGTGGTCCTCCTGGTCCCCGTAGGACCGGTGTCCCCGCGTCCCCCCTTACCATGGTGTCTCCAGCGGTGTTTCCCTCCCTTTCGGGTGAGCACCAGCCGGCCTTTGCGGGCGCCTGGCTCGGGGCTGCAGGGCGGGGGGCAGCCTGGGCCCGGCACCCGGCACCTGCTGCTGCGCTTCAGCCTCGCGGCGCCGCGGGGAAAAGGTCGCCGGCCCCACCGTCCTGCCCGCTGCAGCGCTGCCCGCCCCGCCAAGGCAAACTCAGCCAGCCAGGCAGGGCTCGGGTACACCCCAGATTTCAAAGTCGGTCCCGCCTGGTTGGGCGTGCTTGTTAAATCCGAGTGTGGCCACGTAACACGCCGTACGCTATACTTTCCAGCACCTGAGTATCATACACACATCTCACCTACACGACACGCACCATCCCGCTTCCCTGTTCTGCCACTGTGTACACACAGTATGTATGTATTTAGATGAAAATTACTCCTATATTCCAATACAGAAGACTGAGAAGGCATAAGAGAGCAAATGAATGGAAAAGGGAAGGATAGAAAACAAAAAGAGAAAACTGAACAGTAAATATAATTACCATTCTGAATTGTGCTCTTAAACTCTGGCCTGGCTTCTTCCCCTCCTTACTCCAGCAGCCTTTCTATTAACGTTTCAATTTACTTCTGTTGCTTTTCTTTTCACATACGGTCACCTGGGCTGTCAGCAGTATGGGATAGCACTCAGTGCAGACTCTAACTTGTCTGTCCAAACACTGAAAGAAATTTGATTCTTATTGCAAGACATAGCTGGAGGCATCACACAAATATTCTCACACCAAATTAGGGCAGTTGCCTCCACCACTTTATTGTTTGCTCCTTCTGCACTAGCTCAGCATTGGAAAGCAGCAGCTTCTCTCAGAGAAATCCTTGTGTTTGCAACTCTAAGGTAGCAGAGGAAAGCACACTTAATTGCTTGATCTGAGTATTATGTATCCCCCAACTTTATAAACATAGTGTTTATTATGATGTTTAATCAATAGAAATTTAAATACACAATTCCTAAAATTCAGGTTAGTCTACTTTGACATGATTAATAGATTGTTCTGCTACTGTTGGCAACCAGCATCTATCCAAGTATCGTATCTAACTAACCTACGTTTTAACAGTGTGAAGTAGTTCATTCTGTGTTTTATAAACTCACATTTACTTTGGTATAGTCTTAATTTTGCCGATCTTTACATAAATCTGCAAATCACTACTCTTTGATTTTGGCTGGGAAAAGCTACAGTTTTCTGGAGCCACAAATATTTTTTACAGAGGAAGAATTCCCATGGTAATTTCTATCTGCTGCTTTGTTTAAGCCGAGTCCCACATTTCTCCAGAAAACCATCAGATCACTGCTTTGAAACTAAGGAATAGGTTGTTTTAGTGTTCTTCTTCCAGTGGAACTGGTAATGTTCTAGCCAAGCTCCAGTGCTCTGGACAGTCTGAAATGTTAATGCTCACGGCTCCACCAGATGTGGAGCTCTGTGCAGAGAATCACCTCAGGAAAAAGTCTTACAGCAAATACTTTGAGCAGTCCACCACTCAAATCCTCTTAGAGTCAGTATGTCAGATCTAGCAGCTACAAAACCTAGAAGAAGAGGTCTGTGAATTACTGAATTATTTGCAACTTAGTCCATTGCTGCATTTTCTCAGCTCTTCCATTGCCTCTCTCCTCTCTTCTGAAACAGGCAGTGAGAGCACCACTGGGAGTCAGCATTAATCATTCCTCTCTCCGCCCTACTCAAAGTCAACAGTCCCAGGACCCATAGACTCACCAGTGTTGGGTTGCCAAACTGAACCTGTCAGAAACTTCAGGGAGCAGGGAGTGATGGAGTCTTGAGCAGTGTCCCTCGCTGGTGGGAGTACAACAGCTGTGCTCCTTCTCTCTATAATCAGCTGAGCTTGAAGAGCCTGGGGATGACCCAGGTTACTATTTTTGCCTTTCTCACACATGCATAGCTAAAAAAAAGGCCTTTACAAATCTGCTTTAGACCAAAGACAGTGCTTGGCCTGAACTATCTTGAGATGGTCTATGAACTCAAGTGCTGGAAATATGTGCTGGTCTGGGGTGAAGGCCAGACAGAGACATAAAAATGCTGAGGAAGGCTTGGGCATACTGGTTTTCATGAGGTTTCCTTATGTTGCTCTGTCTGTCCACCTTTGTGGAGTGCTTGGGCAGAAACCCCTCAGCCTAGATTTAGAGGGTAACCTGAAAGCACAGCGTGGGACTGTGCACCCAAGCACTGGTAAGTTTTGTTGACTCCAGAGTTAGCCTCTAGGCTCTACTTCTCTAGAGACATGAGGTAGATATGGCCTGGATCTGGATTCTTGGGAAGAAAGTCATCTTGCTCGATGCTGGCATTCAACCCACGTGGGCAGATTGTGAACTTGAGGCGGCACCTCTCTGTCCTCAGAGGTGGTGTATATGGAACAGGCTTGAGACATGCCCTGCGTGGGGAGGGTTGATAGCCCAGCAGCCCGGTCAAGACCTGCCCACTTCAGCTTTTACTGTGCGACATTGGTAGATGATGATGAGAGCTAAATAGGGCTGATTATAAAAACGCTCTCCACAGAGTCCCAAGGTGTGCAAATAAGTGAATTTGGCACGAGTGCTAGAGTGGCTTTGCTGGTACTGCCAGAGGGCTTGTGAATAGCCCATGCTCCTCGGGGTGATGTGCAGTCTGCACACAACTGGGATGCTCTGGACATTCGCAGAGGGCTTCTTGTGCACATGGACTGGGTGCTGTGCCACAGGTACCCTCCAGAGCAACGCAACAGAGCAGATGAGTTGTGAGTTATTCATTCCAATTGTTTATGATACTATCAAAATCAGCCTCTTAGAGGGATTTTGTAAAGCCCTTAACGTGGCCATACAAAACCTAACCCCCGTTTCCTCTATTTAAAAGTAGACATGTCTCTGAAAATAGCATTTTTGAATAATCTAGCTCTTAGAAGTACTGTCCACCAGATCTTAGGCAGAGAGAACCATTAAGTCCTGTGATCTGTTAGTCAGTTCTGTTCTGACTAAAGATCAAAATACATCAACAGGCAAATGAAGGACAGTCAACTTCTTTATCTCCTCTACCAGGTGCACATCACTCCCTAGACTGGTTAGCTAAGTGACTCACCAATAGTGGCAGAATCATGGATTATTTTCGAACAGTAATGTGCCATCTTACAGAACGCTGCACTCCTAAGAAGTTCTTTGATGATCATACAAAAACCTCTTTGGTGTGTGAAAGTCTTTGCATTTTCCACACATTTTAATACCTTCTTCTTATGTTAGGTGAATGAAGATATAAATGCTTCCCCGTGTCCTCTGTAGAACTACATTCTGTCATTCTGTTGACACCTACTGGGAGAACTGACAACATCTCGTTTCAAGTATTTCTGAAATCCCAAAGTCTAGTACTTCAGTACTCTCATAAAACCTGCTGTAATGATAAAATACTGGCTTTCAGGCATTATCCTTGAAACAGAGAACCATGCAATCTATTTTTAACACTACTTTTAAATAAAAAAGAATTACGTACATGTTGGGATACAGTTTCAAAAGAGTTACCTCCTTTTTGGTAAGAATTGTCATATACAAAATTCCTCTATATATGTTAAAAATTGAGGAATTAGATCTGGAATTGCAGAATTATCTCCCCTAATATAGGAAGTTCAGAACTATAGTTTCTAATATAAAGATCAGCCATTCATTTTGCAGATAAGAAGACTAACTACATCAGTGATGTTTCTGGATGTGCCTGCTTTTCTTTATGACCTTTTAGCAAATCTAATACAGATTTACCAGAAAGAGGACAATGTTCCTCAGCAATTTGGGCAAAGCATAATGCATTTTTATAGCCCTGCTGGAGTTGTATGCCATGAGTATGCATTTCAGTGAAAACACAGATTTTTTAAAAAATAAATTTATGAAAGATCAATAGTAAATCCATCATTAAAGTAACAATAGTATGTATTTGGTCTCCAAGGTGTCTCCCCTTCATCAGTGTAAAGGGAAACCTTCCAGATAACCATGAGCTCAGAAGCAAGTCAGACACACATGGCAAGATCAGCACAATAGGCTTAATGTCTTGCTGCAGGCATTACTCCAAGCACAGGGCTGCTCAGCAGGTACCCCCAAATGCACACCATTTTCTTTACTTTCTATTACCTTTCTCTTGCTTCCCCCCCTCCCCCCCCCCCCACCTAAATAGACACCTCCACACACTTTTTCACCACTGGCCCTGTTCTGCTAATTTTACACCTTTATTTCATAAGTTCAGCTTTAGTTAGTATCACCACTAAGCCAACACCCCCTTCACTTTCTGTTGATATCTTACACTGAAGGCAAGTGTCCCCAAAATCCCCCTTTCACTATATGTAATGCCCAGTAGCTTCTCCTGCCATTACCTCATCCCTTTTGACCCAGGTTAGGATTGGCCAACCACTTCTCCTGTTCCATCATCTGCAACATTCAACAGTTTCTCTTGTTATTCCACCAGTTTAACCTCAGGCCATAGCTGGCCACCTGCCCACATGCCTTAACAATATATTGTTCTAAAATCCTAAACCAATGGGAATATACAAAAATATACCTTAGGAAGACTTGAACTGTGAAGTTGCAGCTGGTGTTCTTAGACGTCCCACCTATACCTATCACACACATTTTTTGTCATGGTTCTGACTGTGATCTTAGTAAGTCTGATGGAGCTGGTAATGCTTCTGTCCTGCATGCCACAAGCTGGTCATTTTAAGGCCCTTAAATCTGTCATAGATGTTGTTCATTTAGCAGTTGGAACAGAACTGTCAGCATACTGCACCTCCAGACCAGTCCAGTTACAACTGTTAGTCGCTGCACATAGTGCGCTTTAAACTCCTGCTGAAGCTAAGAGTACCTGAATTGTGCCCTGACTCCTGGCAGCTGACAAAATCACACCTTCTAGCCACCCCGCACTGTGAATTGTACAGAAACAAGGGCACTAAGACAAGCTGTATGTTATTGGCACAAACAGAGTTCTCACTGCATCTTACAGCTTTACAAACATGTTTAGAAGTAGTATGAAATAAGATTGAGCACTGTAGGTAACTTCTCCTTACATAGTATCTGTAGCAACTACATGGGAGATTTTGAAGCACAAGTTCCTCAGATAATATTACAGCTACATGACTGTACCTTTGCATTGAATAAATGACACTACAGATGACAGACATCCTTTCAGGATATATTAGCAAAAAATATGAAGCTTACCACCCTCTGAGGCAAAGTGACTAATGATTAGCTGGTCATATATCCTGCATTTACTGTCCTGTGATCTCATAGTGGAAAAATTATCCTGTTCATAGTCTACCAAAATGGCAATGGACTTGGTGTGTATGAGACAAGCAGAAATGCAGCCACATGAAAAAAATACACATAGAGACAATCTCATGCATGAAAAAGGACAAAGTGAATTTTAAGATTCCTCCTCTTCATTTTCTTCTTCAAATGAGTCAGTTCCCACTTCTTCATAGTCCTTCTCCAGTGCAGCCAGGTCTTCTCGCGCTTCTGCGAATTCTCCCTCCTCCATGCCTTCACCCACATACCAGTGCACAAAAGCTCTCTTGGCATACATCAGATCAAACTTGTGGTCGAGCCTTGCCCAAGCCTCTGCAATGGCCGTGGTGTTGCTCAGCATGCACACTGCTCGCTGAACCTGGGCCAGGTCTCCTCCTGGTATAACTGTAGGAGGTTGATAGTTGATCCCAACCTGCAAATAACAATAGAAAAGACGGAGGAATAAAAAGAGTTATGAGAAAGGAGACAAGATTAGACAATAAACAGGGTAAGAAAATTGTAAAAACATTGGTAGCGGGAGGAGAAGAGGTAGTGAAAAATCCAGATCACATCAGTGTTAAGTCTAATGTCCTTCAAGCTAATTTTCTGTATACAAGTCAATTCCTTACCCTCACTCAAGAAAAAAAAAAAAGAGGGAGACCAACCAGAAATGGACTCCAAATGAAGAAAAACTTTAAAAAATGTCAGTATGCATGGAAAAATTGGGCACAATGAAAAAAGTTGCTCTTGGCAGAGATGTTGTAGAAATGTTTCACTTGCCAACAATATATTACTGATAACTAAATCTCATGAAGGACACTCTCAAGTGTCTTAGGGATTTCAGAGTATAAGCCTTAACTTGATATTTCTTCTAAAATACAATTTCTTTTTTTAAAGTCTTATTGTGTTGACATTCTGCTATTACTGAATATAGAAATACTGTATATGCTTCAATTTATTTAAATATTTAGGAGTCTATATCAATGGGTTGTCTAATGGAGAAAGGGCATGTTTTATACAAATGCATCTTGCCTATGTTGCTGTTTCTCACAAGTGGAAAACGTACAAGATCTAGAAGTTTAAATACAAGTTTCCCCCTAGACTGAACTTGCCCTTTCAACATTAAAGAGAAGCTCGTGGCAGCTCTACTCACCTTGAAGCCTGTTGGACACCAGTCGACAAACTGGATAGTTCTCTTGGTCTTGATGGCAGCAATCGCTACGTTGACATCTTTGGGGACTACGTCACCACGGTAGAGCATGCAGCAGGCCATGTACTTCCCATGTCTTGGGTCACACTTCACCATCTGGTTGTTGGGCTCAAAGCAGGAGTTGGTGATTTCAGCCACCGAGAGCTGCTCGTGATACGCTCTGTCAGAGGAGATGATGGGGGCGTAGGTCACTAAGGGGAAGTGGATGCGTGGGTAGGGCACCAGGTTTGTCTGGAACTCCGTCAGATCCACGTTGAGGGCTCCGTCGAAGCGCAGTGAGGCGGTGATGGAGGAGACGATCTGGCTGATGAGGCGGTTGAGGTTAGTGTAAGTGGGGCGCTCAATGTCCAGGTTCCTGCGGCAGATGTCGTAGATGGCCTCATTATCCACCATGAAGGCACAGTCCGAGTGCTCCAGGGTGGTATGCGTGGTCAGGATGGCATTGTAGGGCTCCACCACAGCTGTGGAGACCTGAGGGGCTGGGTAGACGGCAAACTCCAGTTTGGACTTCTTTCCGTAATCCATGGAGAGGCGTTCCATCAGTAAGGAGGTAAAGCCAGAGCCGGTACCGCCACCAAAGCTGTGGAAGATCAGGAATCCTTGCAGCCCAGAACAGGCATCAGCCTGAAAGTCAACAGGAAAAGTCAAAGAATAATTTAATGTATATTTAAATTACACCCTCAAATAGAGACAGCAACACCCACACGCAGTGCACAGTACAAAATTCAGAAGTTTTCCCAGAAAATTCTCATTGTTTTCCCTTGTAAATCTCAGGCTACAGTATCAATGGAGCTAAATTGATTTTTTTCTTACAATAATAATGCTATTGCAATATTTGAGGTTTTCCATTTAAGTCTTCTATTCATATGAAAACTAAGGTGGGGCATCTGGGACCTGCATTTCTCTGTTCTGACCCAGTGACAACAGTAAAAGCAAAACGAGTGTCACTACCAAAAAAAATGGGTGTGGTGTTTAGTTCCCCTCCCACCCTCCTAAGGACTTGCTTCCAATGTAATAGTGCATACCAGCTTGCGGATACAGTCTAACACAATGTCAGTTTTGTCTTTGCCAACTGAGTAGTGGCCACGTGCATAATTATTTGCTGCATCTTCCTTTCCAGTGATCAGCTGTTCTGGATGGAAAAGCTGCTGATAAGTGCCAGTCCGCACTTCATCTGAACAAGAAAGAAAAGCATAAGCTTGGGACAGATATTTCACCAAGGCTGATAATGTTTGCAAAACAAGTGCAGTATTTTATGTTGGCAGAAAACAGTATGGAAGATCAAATGTTGAAAAGTACGGAGGTCAGGAGTATCATCTGAGATGTTCTCAGTTTTTAAAAAGAAAGAAGTGGATTCTGCTCCAAGTGGAAGTTGATGTGTTATACCAATTAATTCATTTATCAAATGAGGGCTGTGCCACGCTGTAGTAAAATTTCAGCTCTAGATACCAATCAGATGAAGATTCATCAGAACCTTCTGGAGTATGACTGGAAAAAGAGGAGATTTGCAAGAGTAAAACAGTGGTTTCCCCTGAAAATCTGTCAGAATGCTTTTCTTGTCTGATTCTTCATGCTCCTCTCTTACATTTGAATGCGAGGAAAGCATTTTCCATCAATTAGCAAAGGCAAAATATCACCACAAAAAAAGACCAGGAAAGAATCTCTTTAAGAAAGATAAATTGTACTTATAACCAGTGGAGGTTTAAATAGTAAACTTTTGATTTTATTAATTATTAGTAGAGTGCCCATGACAGAATGCAGTCCAGTTTTCATCTTTTCATTGAGAATAGCAGAGCTTTTAGTAATATCTAGTATTAAAAACTTAAAATCTGTACATTTTGCATAAGTGTTGGGATCATCCCTAATGGTAAGGGCATTGTCCTGCAATTCAGTGACCTGAACTGGCACCCAGAAGAGTGAATTCATTTCTATTTTCCAAGAGTAGTTCTCTACTGACCTATTACTGTTTGCTCCAAGTCCACCATAACAGCCCGGGGCACGTATCTTCTAGAGCTTGTCTCTCCAAAGAATGTGGCAAAAGAGTCATCATTGCTGGGTTGGTCGGTGGAGGTGCCATTTGGCTGAATGCCGTGCTCCAGGCAGAAGAGCTCCCAACACGCACTGCCTATTTGAACTCCAGCTTGGCCAATGTGAACAGAGATGCACTCACGCTGAAAGAGAAGAGCAAGGGAAACGGTGAGAAGAACCAGTGAATATCCTGAGTCTATAAGCTGATCTTAACTCGAAACCCCAAGTCAACCAATGATCACATTTGCCACAAGACTGAAATTAATGGAAAATCATCTGACACATTTACAAATTAGGAAGAAAAATATTTTGCTGTGTGTGGAAACAATAATCTTAACAGCTAGTGATTTGCAGCCATGCCTATGCGTGGTGTACAGTACACATAAACTGAGTACCCATAAGCCCATACAGATAGAAAAATTCTGTATAGGTACACAAAATAGGTCCCAGCTAGGGAATATGATCCAAGTCCAGTTATCCAGGACAGGACACAGCTATGCTGCCTTATTGATAGGTAGATAAAGCAAAGAGAATTAAGTATCTTCTGACCTCTCAACCTTCTGTTGAAAATGTGTGTTGGACAGGTGAAAAACAGGTTTGTAGAAATTAAAGGAACTAGAATTAAAGTGCCTTTATTACCTTCATTTCAACCACTGATTGTTTCAGCCCATTCTCTGGGTACCTTTAATTCAATTTAACATGTGAAGAGTTAACTTGATACTCAAGAGGACTTGGTACTCTTTACACGTTAAGACTAAATTACGCTCCTGAGAAATCCTTCTCATACATACACTTCTGTAAGCATGGCTATTCAGCCAACAACCAGTTTCTAAAGTGTTTATTACTGTGTCATAACAGAAATCTGAAACACAAAATATATCATATTCTAAAAGAAAACCAAGCTTATCTCCTTCTGTAGATTGCTCTGCAGACTCCCAAATACTGTGAATTTAAAGGGTTCTCTCAAAAACACTCTTGCTGGACATGGTATATTTGAATGACTCTTTTGGCAGATGATTCCCATCGAGTCTTACAGAGTATCTTAGGGAAATGTCCACATTTCTTTGCTCTTAATACTCATAAGCTAGTAGGAAAAGGCCATTTGTGGGACTACAATGGGAGATGGGTGAGGAGGATTGTAAACACACTGAAGTGACTTGCAGCTGAGGTATCGAAAAAAACATATATCAGACTGCTTGTTATTTACTTCTTTGTTCTTCACGGGTTTAACGTCTGTGTTTAGGTAACAGGCTTGTGATAGAGGCACCCTATCAAACATCCCTGAAATTCCTGCCCTGCTGTAGGAAAGTTCAAAGCACAGTGGAAAACTATGCCTGCAAAAATCCCTCGCATATACAGGTGAAAGCAGCAAGTTCGAGATCTTTTCCTTTCTTCTCTTTCTGGCAAGCAAGAACCGAGCTCTGCAGTACCTGCATCCCCGCTTGAGTGCCTCTGCCCAGGTGCTGCGGCAGAGATCCCCCGGGTCATAAAGGAACGAGAATAAATTTACTCTTTGCATTTCAGCCATGGTTTTGTGGTTCTGCATCCTGCCTGTGTCGGCTCACACACCATTAATAGAGGGTTAGACATACTGTATTCAACGTACATCCAGAGTAACTTCTGCCCAAAAGGGAAAAATAAGTTCCAATCCCATCCTTCTTCTGCATATGACTTTCCTTATAAATTTATTAACACAAGTGTAGCTGTACATATTGGACTCTAAATGTATTTACCAAGAAGCTGATACGTCTGTGCACTGCAAGCAACATTTGTTGCCCCCAAAATGGAGCAAAAAAAGTCACTCCAACCCTCCCAGCTTCACTCCGATCTTGACCAGAGTAGGGAGAAACAGAAGGCCAAAGTTATTACTCATTATCTCATAAAATAATCTGATTTTTTTTTTTTTTTACCATGATTTCTCCTGGGTGCTTCCTTTTTTGATTGGTAGCAGCAACTTTGGCTACAGATGTTTCTACTGTTGGATAAGCAGCCTGGTGTAAGGGGCTGGGCATCAACGCCTCACTGGCCAGGGCCCTTCGGCATCACAGTGGAGGCAGGAGAGCTCATAATCTCTCCCAAGCAACCATCCCATCCCACCCACTCATCTGTTACACCAGCAGCCTGCTTTCTACTCATGTACAGGACCCAGCTCTAAAGTCTGTTTTAAAGCAAGTCTTCTCAGTTAATTCTCCAACCTAAACCTTGGGTTTTTTTGGAAAAAAAAAATAATTACAACTGGTACTAGTAACCAGAATTTTAACACATACAGAGCATCTTCACAAACACCTGTTTTCCTTCCTTAAAATTCTAACAACTGATAAATATACTACTGATAACTAATTTAAAAGATTATTAACCACTTCAGAATTTCTTCATTTATGCTTTCAAAAGGTGGCATCATTTTTAAATGGCGTCTTTCTGACAAAGGTGACCGTAGATACATGGTGGACATGGAGTTAACTTGCCTATGTTCCACTGACTGAAACGAGTTGTGGCACAGCCTGAACCGCAAGGAATTCCACTTGACTATTTGATCACCTGTGGACATGGTACATACGATTATCTTCTTGCCTCCTGGTGCTAAGGCACAAAACCTCATCTTTCTGCCAGCCATTCCTTAGCTTTGTGACCTCTGTTCATCTGATTATAGACAATCCTTCTTCAGCCTTTCAGCTGCCTACAATATGGGCCAACACAAGTTGCTTGCATTTAGTAAGAAGATGGCAAAACAAAAAGCAGAACTATAATCTGCTCTTATATCTGGAGTCACTAGCAGAAATTTCACATACACATGGCCCACAGGCACATTCCCTCTCACAAGGCTTAAGTAGTAGGATGCCCATGTCTCTGTCTTCCCCTCCATGACAGAATGAGAGTACAGAGAAAAACAGAGAAAGATAAATACCAGGTACTTTATTCTTGGTAGTACTGGTCTTGGCCCTCTCAAGGTACACAGAGACACATATTAAAAAAAAAACCCAGAACTGGATCTTTCACAGAAATTACCATTCTCTGAACTCCTATGAAAATGCAGACATATATACCCTACCAACATCATCAGTTAATTATATCTCATCAGATTCACACTGAAGAAGTCCTGTACTTAATTCAAATATGCCTGTACAATAAGGACATGTATTGAAATATTTCCAGAAATTGTTTGAAAACTGTGGAGTATCAATATATTAAATGTAAAAGTTTTCATATACTTAATCACAGCACAAATAAGCAACTCTACAAAGAGGTAAATCAGTAGTCACTTTACTGTGAAAGTTAAATATTGCAGTTTTAGTACTAACTGAGAAATAAAAACCCTGATAGCATGTTTCTGTCTTCTTGCCCTCTCATGAAGAATACAATACTATGTATTGTATATAATTAAACAATAAATACAATACAAATGCAAAATCAGTAGTACTCAAAGTGAAGGTTACCAACATACACATAAAATCAAGTGGAATGTTAAAGTCCTGGTAAATTAATGGCTAGGGCATTTAACAGCATTCTAAACATAATGTATGGCCTGCCCAGACCACTGGTCCCAACCCCCAAAATGCAGCTCTGCCATCTAACTAAAAACGCTGATAGAAAACTGGAGCAAAAAACGCTTGTTACCTAACAGTCAATTTGGTGAGAGTTTGGCCTGACTTCAGAGTGCAGTTTGCTATTTCATTAACTGGCTTACACAGTACTTAAAGTGAAGCCTTGCAAAGTAGGGGGCCAGCAGATACAACCTACTCATTTCTTCAAAGAGCTCAACTCCAGAAAGAGCTTCTAGGTTTTATTGTAGTTAGTTTCCCACCAACTGTTGGTTGCAGAGTTGTAACTACACTTATAGTTGGATTCAAAGAACCCCCTAGCAGCTCTTCCCCATATGTATAGAGTATAAAAGAAATAACTTTTTTATATGGTGAAGCATTATGTGCTATTTATCCTGATGTAAAGCCCTAGCAGAGACAAAAACTTTGGAGAGGGATATGGGATTGTTTCGGTTTTTCCTCTGAGACAGCTAGGCAAGGTCATTACTGCATCATGAACGACCTGCCCCGCTTTATCTGACACTAATATGGGAGTATTTCTCTACTGGGATAATCCAAGAAGAAATAGACACAGAACTGTTTTTAGCAGTGAAGATGCAGACTGTTTGCAAAGCATCTTGATAGATAGCAAAGCAGCAGATTGCACACAGTTTGAAGGCACCAACAGGCTGTCATCAAGGAAACAAATAGCCACCACCTCAGTGTATGGCTACTGCTGGAGACAAAGGAACAGCCTGAAGGGGAAAACTCTTATAAGACACCACAGTAGAATCTATATTGGCTACTTTTTACAGGTTGGGACTGTTGGCTAGAATTTGCCCACTGAAAAGGCCGCTTTGTTCAACATTTTGTGGCTTGGGCTGACGTCAGCTTGAATCTTTTTGGCACAGATGTTGGGATGGCAGGCTACTTGTTTGCCACAAAGGCTCCTTGCCTTTAACTTGTTCTCTCCAGTGCACAAGTTTGCTCCACTGAAGGCAATACAAGAGCAAGTGCTCTCTCCTTTGGGACTCACCCTTTGTCAATCAATGATAAGTGGGGAATGGAGAATAAATTAATGTTCTACCCCAAAGCTCCAATTTCTGCCTCAAGTGGTCGGAAATGGGGTCAGTCTGGTGACAGATCTTCTACAAAGATAGTAATTTTCTTGCCACGGATCTGGGGGAGGTTTTGGGATCTCAGAAAAGTATGTCTTTCTAGCTATTAATAAACTTTTGTTCTCAGTGATAGAGGACTGCTAAATGGCTGCCATGTAACCCAGGACTTTAGATATTGGGGGCAGGGAGGGCAATTCTAGACATATGGAAACTTTTTGACATCTACATAAACAAAGCAAGAGGTAGGGAAAGTATAAAACAATGCAACAACTTCAGTTGTTCTACTAGACAGTAATACAGAATACAGTTTAAAAAAATAAATCTGATTACCTTACCACCACCAAGTGCTCCTAAGAATTACTATGCATTAGGCAAGCACAAAGTGCTGTAATTTGCATTTAAGAAGAGTAGATGAAGCACAATAGTCTCTGTAGCCCACCACCTTGGCTTTCTGGCTTAAATAAGACTAAAATCAAGAGTGCCTGTAGGAGGAAGCATCAGTCACAAGAGAAACCATGGCCATCAAAATGCAATAGGCTTCATTTTCTCCAGTGTTTTTGCTTCCATGTACTTGTCCTAAATCCCATGCTGCAGGAACTGGGCTTTTCACATGCCTTCAGGCAAACCAGTATATTCCCCGAATTATTGGTACTCCATTGCCTTTTACAGTCATGCTTCCAAGAACACTATTTCACTTGTCAGAGAACTGCCCAGCATTTGCAAGGATGGAGCCTTCCTTCAGAGTTCATCACTGGCTACACATTCCTCAATCAAGAGCTACATCCAAAGCAAAGTGTTTGAAAGGGAGGATTCTTACTCAGTTGTAGATTACAGGAGGAATGCTTTCACCCTGATGTTGGACAGAATGGTGCTGCAGAGCCAAATAAAATGTCAGGAATACTTGGCGTGGTTTCAAAATTCGCAACACCACCATTCCCCCTCTGAAGAAATGAACATATCACCAACACAGGAGTTCACAGGTGGTCATCTTAATTAGGACACCGATTTCAACAGTCCTTGAAGAGCCAGATAACATCCTCAAGACAAGCTGACAGGTTTACAGAAGCAGAGAAAAACACATTCTGTGATGGAGGACACTTAGTCTTGAATTGGAGGCCTATGAATTGGAGAAAAAACAGCTGCCCATGCCTGTCGGAAGAGCTGGACCAGTTTGTAAATGAATGGCAGTGATGTGGGAGAAGCTGCAAAACAAAATAAAAAGCAAAAGAGCCTTTCATTAAAAAAGGTAGAACTAAGATACACTAAATATATTAAGAAAGAACTAATCCCAACTAACATTAATCAAAACCTAGTAATCTGTCTCCCTTCTGTTCAGTTCAGTACTGGGGCCTTTGCTCAGGGCACTGCTCCCAGCCCTAGCAAGGTGCCTTCAGTATTTTCCAATGGACTATCTGCAGAATAGCTGTGGAGCACCCGTCACCCAGCAGAAGGGGAAACACACATCCCCTCCACACCCCGACTGCCACCTCAACATCATGGGACCTGCCCATTCTTCAGAGACAGCAGCAGCCATCACTAGTGAAACTCCAGCATAAGCAGATAAAATACCTGACTGTGCTGCTGCCCCAGGCAGCTCTCTGCTTTCCTGAAAGGACAGCCCCTCAGGCAATCACTCTTCCAGGAGACATTCACCTTGTAGCACCTCAAGCTGACTGAAGCAGAGGCTGAGTCTATGTCAGCTCAGCCTGCCTCTCACAGTCTGTACGGTGTCTGTTAGAAAGAGCTGAGGATGGAATGACTGTTTTCAGAAAACTGGCTTTTGTAGATCTACAACCTTCTGCACAGATTGCAACTGGAAACATTAGAAACAAGCCTAAGTTACTAGTCACCCAGTTTTTGTGTCTCCCAGAGAAGAGACATTTACACAGACCAAATCTACTAAAACCAACTATTTTCTTCTCTGTAACCATAATGGAATTTAAAAAATTGCAACTCGTTAATACTGTACCTGGGTCTAATCTCACCACCACCAGGTATAGCAGAAAAGTAGCCAAGAGCATCTTTTTGTAAGGAAGTAAACAGAAGTGGCTAGACATGGACCTTAGGGCTCTACGTAGCAATGTCAACATGGTCAAGAGCTTTTGGGACAGAGCACCTAGAGTACACGGACAGAAAGGCTGTTAGGGCAAAGTACAGTAAAAAAAGTAATCACATAGATAACATAGATACAGATAATAAGAAACTAAGATACTAAAGTAAGACTGTTCTTTGATTGTATGAGAATTGGTGTTTTTTTTTATATATATATATATAATAGGGAACAGAGAAGCATTACAATTTTGTAATACAATTTATTATACGTTGGGTTTTTTTAGGCAACCACTTTAGTATCATATTATATCACAGTAGTGCCAGCTTCTCTCTTGGGAGATAATGTCAAGTGATTTACTGTTCTGGAAGAGAAGCAGTACACTTCAAATGGCAGGCAAGCATTGTTCTGCATGGGCTCCACTATAAATGGAGACAAAGCATAGAGTACACAGAGACAACAAAACGTGCCCTTAAAGGATTGCTAGGTAGTTTTACTTTCCCTTTTGTACCTTTTTTAAAAAAAAAAAAAAAAAAACAACAATTATTCTGAAGAGAATTATTTTTCATGTTCAAAAGCACATCTCTTAACATCAGCTGAGACTAAATATGCTTTGTAATTGTCAGCAAATGGATCACTAAGTCTTCCATTTCCTTCTGTGATACACAACAGGGCTTCCTCATTGCTGGTTTGTCACGGTAATATTCTTAATATACAATTAATACTTGCTAGCCTTTGTTAGTAAGAGACCAACTAACTTGAAATAAAATTACAAAAAACAACAAAAAAAAGAGAACAAACAACAGAGGGAAAGCCTACCCAAAACAGTTTCTGTTGCTCCATCTTGCTGCTCTTCAGCAGCCGAGTGCATCTCTTCCCGTTGAGACCACTGACAGCGGCTTTCACAAATGGTCCCGAGAAATGCTAGCTGCTGCTCGCTGTCAAAAACATCACAGCCACGTACAAGCTCTTCTGCCCCCTCAAACCGGCCAAGCGGAAGCAACACATGCGACAGATAGAGCTCCAGCAATGAACCGTACTCGGGGAGGCTCTTATTGGTTTGGTCTCTCAGCCAGCTACTGCCAACCTCCAGCATCACCTGGGGCTCCCTCACTTTGCTGTATAACAGGATACTGAAATACAAGAAAGAAATATTAGAGAACACTCCTTCTAAAAGTTGAGATCACTGACATTTACTTACTACCCACAAGCAGCTATTGTGAAGGCATGCATCAGGGTCTACACCTGAAGCACAGAGAGATTTCTGAGGTGGACAACAGATGCAGCCACTGATGTTGCTCTCTCAGCATCGCCCCTTTTGTACTTCATCACCATGAAGCAATCTGCAGGCATGCTCCAGCACCCACAGATCAAGAACACAGGACTGTCCTGGGTTCCGCTTTCATCCTCACAAGTGAAAATGTCACGCAATACTCAAGTCTGGCCTGCTAGTAAACCTGACGTGAGCCCTGCATATATCTGACGGCCACAGACAAAAACTTACCACAGCTCCAGAACTTTTGGAGGCAGATGTTCAGGGACATGGTAATATTGTAGGACCCAAGACAGAACTTCTCGCCACCGGTTCATCTCAGCCAGCGCCTGAATCCCCACAACACAAAGGGAGCATTTCACTTCTGCAGAACTGGTAATGAAGAGACACCTAAATAAGCACTTCTTACAAACACGTTTCCCCTTGCTTCCTTTTCAGTGAGCTGCAGCCTAGCTTAGGTACTCTACAGTTCTCTGGCAGTCACTTCCCCTCTTTTCCCTCTCCTCGCTTCCAATAAAAAAGCAAATTCAACCCACCCAAGAAGATGCACTGAGTCTGTATCTCTACAAGGATGTGGAGAAAGCTCATAGGCACACCTCGGTTCCCTCAAACACGCAGATTCCCTCGTATGAAACATGTAAATATAGGCAAGCCGTTATCAAATAGCAGCCAAAGCCAAGCTGGGTTTTAAACACTTTCTAACTCGCTTTTTTGCAAGAAGCGCCTCCCTCCATTAATTTAGATAATTAAGAAGATAAGCAAAACCATGACAACCATCAGTGCTATTGCCATTCATAAAGATAATATTTATAGTCAAGCCTAAGAGGTTCCTAACCCCCTCCGCCAAAAAGAATAAGTTTATTAAACCCCCAAAAGCCTTCCATTAAAAAACAAACAAACAAACAAAAAAAACACGGAAACCACAAACAGGACAGACAGGCCCTGCAGCCAGAAGCCGGGCCACTTCCCAGCGCCGCCCCGTCCCCGCTCCGCTCGCACCTCTCGGGGCTGGGGCCGGTCCCGGGGCCCAGGCTGTCGCAACCCGCCTCGCACCTCTCCACGGCGGCGGCAAAGTCCCGATGCAGCACCAGCAAGTCCGCCGCCTCCTCCAGCAGCGAAGCCGCCTGGGCCGAGACCGGCGACCAGGCCAGAGGCTCGCTCTTCATGGCGGCGGCGGGCGGGCTGCCGGGAGGGCAGCGGCTGCTGCTGCCGCCGCCGCCGCCCTCCCCACTCGGCTCCGCTTCCAGCGCCCCGGAGCTCAGCCCAGTGCCGCTCGGGCCAGCGGCGCAGCCTCCCCCGGCTCCGGAAAGGCCGTGAGGGCTCCCCCGCCCCGCCATCTCCGGCGGCGGAAGAGCCGCCCCGGCGGACATCTTGTCCCCGCCGCCCGCGGGGCGGGGCGGGAGTTCAGCGGTCGCCGCGGCGAGGCGCCGGGACGGCGGCGGCTTCTTGGGGCGCTGGCTGGCCGCGGAGCCGTCCCCGGGTTAAAAGCGGCGGGTCTCCGCGGCTCCCCCGACGGCCGCAGGCTGTGGGATCATGTGGCCCATCCCTGCCAAAAAACCCTGTCGGTTTCTCACTCGTGCGGCCGCCGAGGGGAAGCGGCCAAGGCGGCGCCCTCCGCCTCGGCTGCCCTCGCCCGCAGGGCCGGTGGGGGCCGCGCCGTTGCCGTTCTCCCCGCGGCCGCCGGGCGTCAGCCCAGCCCCACGGGTGTCCCCGCGGAGCCGTGGGCCCCCGCGGAGGAAGGCTGCGGTCCTCCCGCCTTCCCCACCGCGGCCGGGCAAAGGCTTCGGCGTGTGGCTGGTAAAGGGAGAGGAGCTCCGCTCCACCGCCTCGGCAGGCTCCGGGCCGGGGTGGTGGGCGCTCTGCTCTCCTCTCCGGGCCTGCCCTTCCTCCCTCCGGGGCGTTTTCCTCAGTTACCCCGCGCCCAGGGTTTGCGCCGTTAAAGGAACGGGAATTCGGGCATAACAAGGGTGTCTCCGTCAGTATCGTACAGGGTTCACAGGCTTCTTCAGTTACTGAAAAACAGTAGGGAGTCTTGGTTACAAGGTAACTATGGCAGTCCATGCAACCTCTTCAAAAATGAATCTCCACAAGAGAGTCAGAATTTACTTATTTTGTAATGCTGAGCCCCTACTATGATTTTTTTAAAAAAAAAAAAAAAAAAAAAAGCTAATGCAGAACATGTTTAATAGTGAAACATATCTTTTAAAGGGGACTTTCTATGCCATTTCAGCGTTGGAAGCAGGGAAGAAAGTATGGAGAGTACAATCAAAAATTCGGTCACAACTCTCTTTTTATAGGTAGCTGTTTTCAGGTGACAGGACCATGCACCTGCTGCTCACGGTTGTGGCAGGAACACTCTCCAGTAGCAGATTTTGCACAGGGGTGCATGTGAGGGGTTTGCACCCCCTGACATTAACTGTGGAAGAAGTTCCTGGAGGATTCAGGCTGGCTAAAGCAAAATCACAGCACAGAAACATTGTGAAAGAAAGGGTCCAGCAGCTAAGCAAAGGCAGAAGTAAAGGCTTTACAGACTCCTCTTTCTGGTGCTTGCATTTTGGAAAACAACATTCCTTTTTGGGAACTACAAGTCCCAAAGTGCACTGTGGGAAGAACATGCCTCGTACCAGCTAGTGCCCAGCACAAATTCCCAAATATGGATAAGGAATCAATTTTGAAAAAGACTCACCCTGGCTGGATACTCCACACTGAGACTCGGAAAAAGAGCAAGAGAGCACAAAACCGAGGTAAGTTTGTAATAGGCAAAGATACTGTTTTAGAATTTTTTTCATGAGGACCAGCCAAGAATATTCCATCCCTTAGAAGGACAGAACAGCATTGCACTGGTGATGTTTACAGGCGACTTTTAAAACATGACTGTTGTTTCAGGTGGGGAATTGAGCAGCTGTGCTACAGAGTGAGTCAAATCCTGTTTCCCTGCAGATGTTCCTTATTAATAAAGGCCTATGGAAAGATATGTGAGCTGTAACACTTGTGCAGTTATGTTAGAGGCAGGAGAAAGTCGGAGAGAGGTAGGAGTTGCTCTAAAGAGATCTGTATGTGTTGCAGTGTGGTGGCTTAAGAAGCCAAGGTGGAACAAGCAGCCTTGTAATAACAATAATAGGTAAAATTAATTTCTCTGTAAGGCATGGTAGACTGTTTTTGTACTTCACCCCTCTTCCTAGAGGGGACAGTGTAGTGCCTTTAAGGCCAAACCTGTTGTGGCTCTCTGACCTGCAAGTAATTGTAGCTCAGTAACAGGATTGTTTAACTTCAGGCCAGGAACAATTACTTATTTTATTTGCAATTTGTTAACAAGCAAAATGAAATTACTCCAAAATAGAATCATCTTAGTGCAGACGAGAGATGCTCTAGCTCTAGCCTCAAGCATATGCCAAGCTCCCAGGTTGACATATGCCCAGGTCATGGGCAGCATCATCTTTGGCCTCTGTTTCTCTCACTGGCAGTTGAACATATTCCTCACGCAGCTCGGATGCAGCGCACGGACTCTCCTCTGCTGGGTGATGTCAAGCGCAGGTGGTCAGCCTGATCCATCACCCCAGCACCCTCCTACTGTTACATGGGGTCACAGAGCAGCCGCGTCCCCAGGGCACAGGGCTGCCAATGTAGGAGGTTCAGCCCAGCCCTGGAGAGGAGCCTGAAGCCCTTTGGGCTGGTGAGCCAAACTGTCACCTGGACTCATCGCCAGCTAAGAATGATGTTGGTTTTCCACCTTTCCTTAAATGTCAACAGCTTGAAGCGTTCTTAAAGCTGAAAGAGTCACTCTTGTACCTGAATTAGCCTACACAGCAGGGCTATACTGCTACATAAACAATGGAGGAGGTCAGGGTGTTTGGCTGTGCTCCTGGATAACAATTTGTAGCAACTAGAAAAGCTAAAGTCAAGTAAACTTGCTGTCAGTGACAGGTAGTAAGAGGGAGGATTGCAGTGGATTTTGTGTCCTGGGTGGGATGTCAATGTCTATCTCCTTGCCTTTTATCTGAAATCAAGGATTTTTTTGCTGCTGTCATCCTGATTTTCTGTAGCAAAAGAAAAGTGAATTTCAGAAGGGCCTTATTTCTGTCTGCTTCAGCTGTGGATGCACAGGTTCCCCTCCTCCCTCTCCCACCAGGCAGTTCAAGGAGAGTTTAGATTCACAGACGCTTGTAACAAGGCCTCCTGAGGTAAATCGCCTCAAGTATTAATCCAGATCTGACCAGCGCACGGTCACAGGGCCAGAGAGCTGGCAATCAGTCTTTTCTGTGGTCTCTTCTGTGTCAGTAGGCTGTTAATAGGAGATTAGCAGCATTAGGGAGACTTGGAGCTAGAAACAGTGAGGTGCTACGATTTGATCTGAAGGGAAAGAAAACCTCTTACGCCGGTATAAAAACAAACAGAAAAGCTGGAAATTATGAAAGTCGTTATAAACATGGCTGAGGAAAGGATAGTTTCTAGGAAAGATGTGGAGTTTTGTAGTACACCGTAGCTTGTCAGTAACTCTTCAAACAAATAAATGAGGTTGATGGAGACAGCAGGTCCCATTGTGCACCGTTCTGTCCTTATCACCACGTGCTTTTGTTTGGGTCTGGCTAGACCATGACAAGACGTAATCTGTAATTTGCTTGTAATTTCCATCAGCAGTACACCCCTATTAAATATGAAGATAGCTGGCTACAGATCCCTTCAATTAGCCCGGATTCAGGGCTCCCCTAGCTCCTGGCAGGCGGTCGTCAGAGCCCTCGGTTGGGTGAAGGTGAACGCGTTCTGGCTGTGCATCGAACAGATGGCCGATCGTGGTGCTCCGCTTTCTTATCTCACCAAGCATGGTGGCACACAACCAAACCTATTTTGTTGTTTCAAAAATAGAACTAGTAACAGGCGACTGGCTGGATTTTGAGACCACCTGCTGATGTTCCTAGTTACTGTATTTAAAAGCAGTTGCCTCTTATTTTGGCTGCATGAAAACCTGTATAGACAACAGGTGAGAATTGTAGAAGGCAGAAAAGGCAACTACAGGCATAGTCAGAACCACAGTCCAAGTGGGGGGTATCCCATAACATAAAAGTATGAGCAAATCTGTGTTTTCACCTTCATCACAGATGTACAACCACTGTGTAAGATGCAAACACTGAGAAACTGGAAACACAGAGCTGTTTTCCCAACTTGTCAAAGCTTGAGTTTTACTCAGATAATGGCAAAAGTTTTCTGAAACAAAGGGTGATTTTAAGTTGATTAAGTCTCTTTCTTTGCTGTATATTAAACTAAATACCAGCCTTGTCAAGGCAGCAGTCAAAGAATAACAGCTGTTACTTTTGATTTCATTGTTACTGTTATAACAGCAATAATTAGTGCTGGGTGGGGCATTTCATAGCTTTAAGGTGACCAATTTAGTTAAGGGCCTAAGGCATCTTCTTTTCTGCAACCAGTTATTATCTGTGAGAAAATACTAAAGCCTGTCATCACCGTAGGTCAATTAAAACCTGTTTGCCTAGCACAGTATCTCTTTGCTCAGTGGAGCCACAAATCCTTCTAATAGTTAATGCCTCTTCTCAGAGCCCCACCTGTCCAAATCAGTTCCCATCCATAAATCGCCACCTTTCCTCTTTTTCAAAAGCAAACGTTGTGCTCTGATGGTTAGGAGAAGTGCGTGATAATGTGAATCTTGAAAGTATTTGTACCATAAGGCAAATGAGGAGATTTGAGAAAATATGCTGCTTCTTATTTTTAACCTAGCTTCCTTAACTGCTTAGTTCTTGTTTTGTCAGGCCTCTGTCCCTCATTTTGAATGCATGCCTACTGCAATCTCCTGTTAATTATCGCTACAAACAGGCTGTAAGTGTTCTGCATCATGAATTGGAAATCGCAGAAAATGTAACAGAAGTTAAAAAACTCTTGTATCTCAGGCCGCTGATGCTGGCCGGGTCATGTGGTGCTCACAAAAGTTGTGAGGAGAGGTTGTTTTAGGAAAACCAGCAGTGCACAGGCTTGCGTGGTAGCGGTGCCTGAGCCTTGGGAGAGGACTCACTGAGAAGGGCTTCTTTGCCCATGCAACTTTCTTGTCTTGTGTTTCACGGTGAGCACACCCCCGGGTGCCTCTCTGCCAGGAGGGCTGTGGTGGGCAGGACATCCCTGCTTGCTGTTTTGATCGCAAACTTGATATAGTAATTAAGAAGCTATTGCTTTTTTTATTAATTTGCCTCTGATCTTTTTTATGTAGTCAATGGACATGCAGCACCTCTCTTTTCAGGAGGATTTCTCCCCTCCTTCTGAAGACCTATATGCTATTTTAGGGTCTTACTGGTTTGAGAGGTATGCTTATAGTTTGTGTAAAATTAATGTCCCAAGCAGAGTATTGGCCCCCATTTCTCTGATGAGCTGATGTTCTCTTTCCCTCTGTTCCTTCCTTACTTGCTGCTCCTTCTCATCTTTCTCAGCAATACCAGATGCAGACAAAGGTAGGATTAGATGTCTAATTAGCTTACGTAGCCTTAGACATACATGTTTACTTCTTGGCACTGGGGGAAGGGCAGCCTGTGAGGAATCTAACCGTTGTCTCTCAGTGAGGTTTTCAGCT